AAAAGCCTGAAGAAGTCCTGCAACTTCTGGATGTGGAGGATGCTAAGCTTTACGTGGACTTTATAGTGCTGGGTGTGTTCTTCCTTGTCCTCAGACTGGCAACTTACTTAGTCCTGCGCTACAAAGTTAAGTCAGAACGGTAAACCGCAAGAGGCACTTGACTGATTTGAACACACTTTTTTTTTTTACAGTGGGATGGAAAGAAGACCTGTAGATATACTGTATAATGTATACATACAGGTCCAGGGTGTTCATAGACCCCAAAAATACTGTCCTTACAGATAAATACCTTCAAAACTATCATGTACAGTATTAAATACGTGGTTCACTATGAGCTGTGCTTCTCAGTCAGTTGCCTATTCGGGTAATCCTAACAGCTGATACTTCACTAGATAGAAGGCATTGAACCGGTCAAGGTTCATGGTTTCGTACTTAAGAAAATAGGCTATGTTCTGTACCAATACTTCTGTCTGCCCAGTGTTGTCACTCCTTTCTTCGCTATTTGGATCATCTGCATAAATGTGGCTTACTTACAGTAAAAGTATTGAGTTTTGTTTTACAGTTAAAACGTAGGGTTTGTGTTTAATCTCAACACTACAAACTGAAGTTGTTCATCTAGTGTTTAATGCTTTGCTGATGTCTAAAGGCTGTTTATTGTCCAGAACAAATGCTAGATACTTAAAAAAGTCCACATCTACTTTGCTTTCCTTGATTGTACATAGGACAGTTCAGTATTGTATATAATAGACATGTTTTCTCTCTCTCACTGTATCCGTTTCTGTCAGAGGGCAATGCAAACTTTTCTAAAAGACTCACAAGTAAATATGTCTGACTCAAACTATATTACTAAGTAATATGTTATATGTTATAACACATATATTAAAAACAGTATATAATCAATATTTGTACAATGAATAAAATCTGCTATAAACACATACATTTGCACTTCTATTGTGTGGTAATAATTTCATTGAAAGACTTTTAGGGCATTTTCTTAATGTATATGATATGTACTGCTTGAAGGTTAAATGGAAAACAGCAACGGAATGTTGCATGTCCACTTAAACAATAAAGTTTATAAATAAGAAATTAATCATATAGAGAATTAATTATTTTTCATTTTGGAAGTGTGTGTACAGTATTTAAGATTATCAAATTTCCATGTTGTCGTCAATGTCTGGGGTAGAAAAATGCGAAATACAGCCAGGAAAAGAATTTTTTAGGAAATAAAAATCCTAAATTCCTTCTGTAGATAGCGTTTACAACATAAACTATAATTATAACATATTTCATAGCATCACAGCAGCTAAGAGACACTGAATTAGCATTAGCATGACCAACTTGTTAACGGCCATTCTTTTTCCAATAAGCAATCCTCTTACCGACATAACTCGTCCCCTTCATCCAGTCACTCAACTCCGGACTTTCAGCAGGTTAGTGTAGTGGTTTAACTTTTTTCCTTTCACAGTGTAATCGCCATTTTTCTCCTTTCTTCGTACTTTCTTCAAGTAGCTGACCTCTTTTTCCCGCTGCTGATATCGGAATGGCCGGAAGAAACAGCGCGTCTGCACTTCACCTCCTCACTGACAAGCTGTACGTGACCTACGCAGCTTCTGATTGGCTGTTGAGGACTTTAACTACTCGCTCCAAAATGAGGTTGTGTGAAACAAATGGTGCATATACAGTAAGTATAATAGGACATTTGACATGTTAATTGCTGAACCCAGAGAGTTGATGAGGCATGCGGGAGACACAAGCTGTAGAAGACATGGAATAAAATCAAGCTTACGTGAAAGAAGTGGCTCTCATTTCTTGTCTCCTTGAAAGCACCCAAGCCTAGCAGGTTGGGTGTCTGGTCAGAGGGACATGCAGCATTAAAGTATTATTAACACACACACACAGGTCTCCAAATTAAAGAAATAGACTGTATACTTGATTTGTGTTTGTCATCTCACAAAGCCTGCTTCATTTTCGTATTTTTTAGTTCAAAATGAAGAAAGCAGTAAAGGTTTATCATGCATTTTTTACTTAAACTGATGTCAATGTAAAAAATTACACACGATCATAACAGGGTATGTGATATTTACCTTTTTCATCAAAAAAAAAAGGATATGGATGCGGCCAGTAATTCATAGTACAGTAACACAATTGACAAATTTGGAGGTAAAAGAAAAAACACTACACAAAAATTCTGGAGCTGGGATGTCAAAATATGGCAGTTACAAATAATGTAGAAACTCTTTCAGTATTTTCGGTTAACCAGTGCAAACAAAAAAAAAAAAACTAAACAGGACATCAACTCAGTTTCGCTAGTTGTTATATTGATAAAACATAAGGCAAACATTCATCAGTTTGGCTAAATATTTTACACTAAGCCTGGTTCCTTAAACATTTAATTTCTTTCTGTGCCTAAATCTTTAAATTCCTTTAACATTTAAAACACATGGTGCGTGGTTTTGATCTAAATCATATTATGTCTTTGTCTCGTAAGTCACAGCTGGTTCACAGAGTCTGGCTGGGGGTTTCTGCTGAAGCATTTGGTGTGAAAGTTCTATAAACATGGCTGGGAGTTTACCACTTGCCCCTCTTGCTCCAGTCCTTGGGAGTGAAGTGAAGACATTTTGGATCAATGCGCAAGTGTCTTTTCTGCATCGCTTTTTCATGCCCGTCCACAATGTCCTCTGAGAGTGTCAAAATGTATTGACCCTAGATTAAAATGGCAAGAGATCCACACTCAATTCAGGTACTCCCACACCAAATAATTAAATACTGTTTAAAAAAATTATAATTTATTAGGTTGGTATATTTATATACACATATAGATGTGGACGTATGCACACACAAAACTTAATTCTGGCCATATAAAACCACTCTTTCTGTCCCCTTGGGGAAAAAAATAATTGCCCACCCCTGCTTGACATGATGACAATGAATCATCAATTTAGTTATAATTGGAATAACTATGCAAGTTGCATATTACATATGATTATTCTCTCACCTTGTAGTAGTTGATTAGGTTGAGGTACTGAAGCGTAGAAATGACATCTTCTTTCTTTACACTCGTTAACTCACTGATTTCACTGAACAAAATGAATCAAATGACATTACAGAATTTTCTGTAAAATAACAGTTGCTTTTATCTTAAAGTCAGGATGTCAACAGTTATACATACTTGATGGTAATCTGTGGCCGTTCTCCATTGTCAGGTTTAAGGTCCATCAGAATTTCTAAAATTGTCTGTGACCAGTACGAACGATACGACAAAAGACCAAGATCAGAAAGTGGCTTTTCAGGAGTTCCCGTCTTTCCTTCAACCTTGGACAGCTCATAGCCTGAAAATACATTGCGAGCACATAGGGACAATATGAGTCATTTGCCTGCAGAAGTCAGCTGTGGTCTATAAGACAATATGTGAGAAGCCACCATAAAGCCAGCAATAAGTCTGTAACTTACTAAACTCAATGAGCAGTTTTCCATAGCCTCTTCGTTGATAGGGAGGTAATGTCAGTATACATGCCACGTTATAATCTTCAGTTGACTCTTTTTCCTGTCCAAAGAAAAATAGTAAAGAAAAATAGTAAAGTTTAGGAAATGTATATTCACAAACTTAAAAACAGACTGCGAGAAATATTTGGACTGAAAATTAGATTTATATAGAATTGTCACAGTGCTTTCAAACCAGTTCTTAGCATTATTACATGCTCTGTTTATTAACACACCTGTTCCCATACCATATACATTATAATGCACCAAAGACACATGAAAAATCATTTAAAAGTCCACCAACCTTAGAAAAGTATCCGACTATGTGAAAGCCTTTAAAGTCGTACTCTGTCATTACATAGAAGAGAAAGGGGTCTGTGTCATAGTACAAGGTTTTGTGATCCAGGAAACACTTTGCGAGTAAACACAGGTTCTGGGAGTAATTCTGAAAAAAACATAGCCATACAATTGAACATGGCATGAACAATTGTCATGTGATTTTTACAAAAAGAACAACAAAACAAATTCTAGAAAAACCCACTTTGTTTTTTCTTCCGTCGATTTCAAAGAAAGAAATGGTGCCTTTACGATAGATCTCATTCCCTGGAGGATGCCTCAGATTACATTTTGTCTGTTAATGACAAAGATGATTACATTTACTGTATCCTTCACCTAATACAACCACACACAAAACAAAGAAATGAGTCATACCAAATGCCTCTGGAGACACTTGAGGCTTTTGAGATACTTGAGGCAGAATTCACAAAGGTAGAGGATAGGCAAAGCAGTGAGTTCCTGTGGATATGGAGAAAAGTACCAGGGCTTCAGTCTGTGGCGCCCTAGCTCTATACACTCGATGTTTTTCATCCGGGTGACAATGTCATCGTGGCTGCGGTCGGACACCAAACTCCCTGTCATGCGAGGAGCAGAAGGGATGCCATCTGAACTATCTTGAGAGTCCTGGTGGTAAAATAAGGTATGTTAAAGGATCCTCTTATTTGTTAGAAAACTCTTTAAAAAAAAACACACATCAAACACACATGTCCAATTTGACAAATGCATTGTATTGATAATGACTTTAATAAGAATATGTTGTATTTGTATATACAAATATATAATATATTGTACTTTAGTATAATACAACATTCTTATTAAAATTAATTAATTAATTAAAGAAAAACTCCAGTTTACAAGATATATTAAAAGACATAATTTGGAAAGCAATGAATTAAGCAAACCTCTGGTGGCGCCAGGTAAACAGTGGCACTTTGAGAGTTGTTATACGGCAAAACCTTTATCTATGAGAAAAAACACAAACAACATATTTCAAGAGCATGTTTACAGCTATTATTTCATTAATACGTTAACATATTCTGTGATTTTGTTTTTATTTCAGCTGTTATATTGGATGTTGATTATGTAATAGTACTAAGTGTTCACAAGAAAGGTTGAGTCCTGTTATTTTAAATGTTAATCAGGTTAGTTAAACTACAAGTTTATTTTATGCTTCAGCTGCTGCATTTTATATTGGATTGTATTTCCTATTCATACATGTTATACATACATAAAAATGTTACCCCTGTTAAATGCTAGGAGCAGCAATATTTAGTCTACAAGTGCACTTCATTGTTGATTATATGCACCTGTGTTTCTTTAAAAAAAAAAAAAAAATACAGTTTCACATCTGAAATGAAATATTTATAAAATCTAAGAAGAGTGAGGGTAATTACCTCATCGGGTCCACTACAGGGAGCTTTCCTTTTTCTTCCAGGTTGAGGAGTGGGAACGAGTCGCCGTGCAGTGCCATTCTAACACAAGTCACAGATGAAATTTTATATTAACCAGAAAGGAAATTAATACACTTCCACGTTTGAGAAAACAATAAGGATGCAGTTTACCATTGTGAGGTCGTGGTCTTCTCGGGACTTGAAAATGTTGGTTTCCCGTACAGTAGGAAAAACAGACACTTGGGAAACTTCAGGTGGGGTAGGGATGGAGGGTACTGGGATAACCTGGGACACCGGAGCCACTGTTGGTGCCATCTCAACTTTTCTTTTATGCTGCTGATAAATACAATTTCATACCATGTTTTTAAAAATAGTTAAGGTAGAAAACAAACCAAAACAAACCCATAAAACATTTTTGGTGCTTTGGGTGATCCCATTAATATATTAATAAGATGACCCACCTACTGTATTATTTACAAAAACATAACAAAAAAAACTGTCTTTGACCTTGCCAAACCTTTAGATGACATCTTCCAATGGCTTTCACAGTAGAAACAGTTTAGGGTACATTTTAAATCACTTGCATTTGTTTTGTTTTGTCTCAGGTTTGTAAATACATTAGAAGCCTATGTATTTTTACTATGTGATAGTTTTCATATTTGTACAGTACAGTATAATCATACATGATGCATAGTAACACTGGATTCAAGTCGGTTTTCTATCATTAAAAAAAATGCAGGTTGTACCAGTGTTGGGAGAGTTTTTCCTCTGGGAGCCGTCACAGGCGGAGGGTTGGTTTCTACACCCTTTCTCTGAATTGAACAGATGGGAAGAACAGGGGTTGAATTCACATTTGTAGCAATTTAATATTAGTGTGTCCGAATAGTATCTAGTGTACAATTAGTGTATATATTTAATAATAATTATAAAACACAGAGTTGAGTTTTTTATGACAATCAGGCCTGTGACACAAATTCCAAAGCCAAAATCAAGAGAGAACATTTCTATTTATCATTAATGTAGAAAGAGGAAAACCCTTTTAACAATGCCATGTGTCATTCAATAATTCAGTACCATCTTTCAACCAAATTTGTTATGATAGATACTACCTCTTAATTGCTTTAGTCATTAACAATGTGCTTGGCTTGAGCTATCTAACCTGCAATGACAGAACCTCAGATAAACCTTCAGTGATGTCGTGTAGATGTGCTTACTACTTCTCTTTCTGGAGAACTGGGGCGGGAGCCTGGAAGACCATTTTTGGTAGATGGTTTAGCGTCCTTCTTAGGGAACTGAAGTTTCTTCATGTCCAGCCTGTCCGCTGTGACCCACTCATCCAGACGTTTATTAACTTTAACACAAGTAATACAACATATAAACAAAAGTGAAATCCTTTAATGAACCTTCACAATGTACAAGTTAAAGGAATTTAAAGAAATTAAAGAATACTCACAGTCGATGTAGTGTACATAATAAAGTTTTCTTCCGGAGACTTCTTTTACACTTAGAATTTCTGCCAACGCTGCAGGAAAAGAAGAGATTTTATGCATTTTCAAATTTACACTTACTTTCACATACAAAAAACAGTGTCTGAGTGTAATCATATTTTGGATAAAATAAATCTGCCCTAAGGCCTTGAGAATCAATAGTGTGGGCACCTAGAACCTAAAATGAATGGCAATTAAATTGTTTCTTCAAATCAAATTTTATTTGAATGGCACTTTTCATACTCTAAGGTAGCATAAAGTGCCTCATTCAAATTGTACTTACTCATTCTAGAAAAATTCAGTCAGATTTAAATTCTGATTCTATATTATTGCATGTTTGTAGCCTATTTCTTTCCTCATTAATGCAAAAACCTGAATTACCAAATCATTTGAGGGATGTTATATGCTGTGTTGATAAATTTATAAAGTGACCCGAATCCTATGACTACATAGGTTCAGGTTATTTATGACTGACCGAGACACAGCACAAAACAGCTAACGTTCGTTAGCTTAGCATAGTATAAATAACAGTACAGTACTTACGCCACTCGTCCTCGTGTTCTTGGTTTTTACGAAGAACGGGGAGTCGGCAGCCCTCGACAACCTCGACCTGCAGAAACAGAACAGACATTTCCGTATCTTGAGAGTAACACGCTCTGTATTATATTAAATAAAACGTCCCTCGGAGACCTACCGACTGTGTGTTGTCCGCCATTTTTGTCATCGATGGTTTAGCTTACGTAGTAACAGTGGGCGTTGTAGGAAAAATCCGGTTTTACTTTACTGCTGCCTGTGGACCGGAGGTGGCGGTATTGTGCGTTGTCAACTGTCTAGAGGTGGTGTCAAACTCACAACCGCTGATGAAGGTTAAATTAGTCACATCCTTTGCAGTCATAATACAGTATATAAAAAAGCTGGACGGTACCGTGCACTACAAGTACCAATTACCTACTCTTTTCTTTCAGTTTGGAATTCACAATTCTAATCGTATTAATATTAAGAATATGATTTTGACATTTGTTGACATTCAAACAGTTTGCCCTAATATCTATACATAATTTTTCAATTATACTTCAAATTTGTTTAGCATCATCAAATTGAACATGAGAAATATACAAAATATAAAACACTTAAAATAAGAGGCAGTAAAACCTTCTGTCTGTCATTGTGTGAACCAGCCATTGTACTTCTACTACCTCTGTTTTTTTTACCTTTGCCTGTTTGTCTTTGTTTGTTGCCTGAACTCACCAAGCATTGTTGTGCCTGTGCTGTTTTCCATCAATTAAAAAATGTTTTATCAGGGAATTGGACTACCAGCATATGCATTCATGTAACAGCAGACCTCATCACACAGTTGTCTAATAAATACAGTACACACCGTATATACAGTATTAGCCTCAAGCACACAGAGGTGAAATTAAAGTTAAGCAGTTTTATTCAGATTTTTTCATTTTATAAAATTAATTCATCAAACTGTAAAGTAATGCAAAAGACATATTTGAAAATATCAATTACTTTTCTAAAAATGGCTAAACAGCATCTAAATTCAGCAAGGTGGTTCCCTCCCCTACATGTGACAAACAACCAGCCTGACTGTTAAAAACGCCATTTTCCTGACTTTTCTCGTCAGCACTGCCTGTATACTCAGTCTTTTGTTCCTCCAGAAGAACACCCCTCAATTTTAATTGCAGTTCTTGGGGAGATACTCCTTCTGGATGCTGTTCCTCAGCCATGCCACAATCCTCCTCTCCTTGTCTGTTCCGCCTTTCCCTCATCAGCTGCTCTGTAAGTTCCACGCTCTCATAACGAATCAGCTGCAGACGTAAGAAGCCATCTTCATGCTTTTTGTACCTGCAATAAAACAAGTAATACTGCTTGTACTACAATAATAAGGCTTGTAAATGGTAAGTATTCATTGTACTTGTATTGTAGAAATCTGATTCAAGTACACAAAAAAAAAACTCAAAAAAATTTAAACTAACATCAGTGCACATTAAAATATTGACTGAAGAAATACCTGAACCGTGGGTGTCCAGAAGGCCATTTGAATTGATGCTTTTTTTGCAAATGCACTGTGAGATTGTTGCCCCTGGTGAAGCACTGACCACATACATGACACTTGTATTGAGCTGTAAAATCCCTCTGCAATGAAACAGAGCAGAATAGTAGAATGCAATAACATACAAATGGCAGTTGCCATTACAATGCCTTTGCTTACCTCATGCTGTCTTTTATGGTGGATTTTCATTGTACTGAGAGTGCGGGATGCAAAAGTACAGCCAGGAAAATCACAGTGGAAGGTAGGGTTGCTGCTATGACTATCCAGATGTTTGCGCAAATCAACCAAATTCTTACAACTACAAACAAAAAAGAAATGAAGACAACTTGAATTTATAAGCTGTGTGTGTGTGTCAATAATGTGTTATAAATAGCCTTCATGTCTAATAGCTTTCATACCTGTACTCGCAGAATTCACAGCTGTAAGGCTTCTCATTACTGTGGCGAAACTTGATATGGTTACGTATTGAAGAAGGCGTAGGACACGTCATGTCACAAAGGGGGCATTTGTAGTGACTCACTATTAAAAAGAACAAGTGTGATGATGATGATGACGGGTGTAATGACAATTTTACAATATATTGATGATTATCAACAAATATAATATCTACACTAGGTGGAGAAAGGGTAGTGTTCTATCACTAAAGTAGATTTACTTTAAATAGCACAGACCTGAGCTTTAACTAAGTACACATGCACGTACACAGCTGGATGTGTGGCAGGTGAATGCACAAATCGATATGTCGCTGTCACTCACATTCACACAATCAAGTTTTCTTACTAGCAGATAGCAAAAGTAGTGGAGGAGTGGGGCAAACGGCTGTTTGCTGGAGGAGAAAGATAAATCTAAACTGAAACATACTGGAAGAAATTACAAAAACAGGCAAAAAGAACAGGCTCAGGTTGATCAATCTATGTCGACCATTACTGAAAATAAACTTTTTAACTGACCGTGGGTCCTCATATGGTCTCTAAGCAGTCTTTCTGTTGCAAAACATTTGGAACAATGAGAACACTGGAACCTCTGACCTACACAAGCATAAAAAGACAAAACTAGGTTAGAACAAAGTGTTATATATGTTCTTGCATTTAGAGGTATAAAAGTATAAAAGGTCTTCTACCTTCTAAGGTAGTATCTGTTACAAGTATAAATGACGTATTATCATGTCCAAGTCTACATTTTCTATTAGTACATCTTCAGACTAGAAGCCAGTATATTACCCTTCAGTGTTAAACTTCCTTATGTGTCCTACATTTCTATTTACTCAAACTGGACAAAGTACATGCATTTGTTGCAAACACGCACATTTGGGAATATTACCTTCCATTGCACTCTGTCGTATAACATGGTCAAACAACTTGGTGTTGTTGGCATACATCCCTCCACAGTCTGGACACGCCACTATCTTCTCCTGGGTGTGACTACGCAGATGCTCTCGAAGCTTTGAGCGCCCTTTAGCTGTAGCTTCACAATCTGTTCAGTGATAAGCGCAAGAGCTGTCATGTCCTTAGAAGAGTTCTGAATATTTAAAAACTCAACCGGCATCAATATAGCTTCTCAAATTACCTTTCCATCCACAATGAACTGGGAATTCACAGTCTCCTGCTGGTATATCTACACACAGACTATGCATCTCCACATGGCGGTAATACCACTCAGGGTTTTCAAATGCAGGTTGCTAAGACAAATATATATGAATATAATAAGAACTACAAAAGCAACAGAAAAAAATACATTTTTGAATATCTGGTGTTCCATTAAAAAGTATTTCCCTTAATTGTATTATATTTATATAGTCCATGTTAATTTATGTAATTCTACCCTACCAAAATTTAATACATTTGACATATAATGCCCATAGCTAATCATATATATATACATATATATATATATATATATATATATATGTATATATATATGATTAGCTATGGGCATTATATGTCAAATGTATTAAATTTTGGTAGGGTAGAATTACATAAATTAACATGGACTATATAAATATAATACAATTAAGGGAAATACTTTTTAATGGAACACCAGATATTCAAAAATGTATTTTTTTCTGTTGCTTTTGTAGTTCTTATTATATTCATATATATTTGTCTTAGCAACCTGCATTTGAAGGAATTTACATGATTACCTGGCAATCCTCCCAGAGACAGATAAAGTTGTCAGGGAGTTCAGGGATGATGTTGCGATTGTGGTAACCAATGGAGCATCTGCCAAGTTTGGGCTGAGCATCAAGCATCTGCTGACCCATGCTTTTAAGCTTAGTGTGGTAACAATGAAAAAACAGGTGTCGGCGCAGCTCATCATGACAATCCAGAGAGATGAAACCACAGTCTTTCCAGAGGCAGTTTTTCTCATCTTGGCACAAAATGCAATGTGACATTGGGGAAAAACACAAGTTTAATTATACTGATCAACAAGCACATTTAAACAGCCAGAAAACATTGTTAAACAATATTTAAAAACGACTTTATGCCTTTACTTTTCATCAATTTCACCCGTGTACTTCATTCACGGTTAAACTTTAGTTCATCTGAAGGGATATAAATAGAGATATATTAACAATATAAATACGAATAGACTATTTTGGCTGCTAATAAATTGCATTGCAGTCAAAGTGGCCTATAGGTCTACTGTTTTCGACACACTGCTAAAACTAATACAGCCCTCTCCTCTTTTGTCAACAGCAGCCACTTGCTGTTTATACATGAAAACGTACCTCCTGTTTTTTCTTCCTCTTTAGGACAGATATGACTCTCTACGTGCTTGCAGAAGTTTTCCATGCGATGAAAAGTCTCTTGACATGAAGACCATTCACACTGCAATTTCAATGATTGCTTGTGAATGCGTTTGTTTGGAGGCATCTCGGAATAAAGTTAATAATGTTGTTAGTTTAAAAAACGGCGCCACGATAAGTATTTAAAGAGCCGCAAAAAATGCTTGTGGAGATCATTTGTAAAGTTGCAAACTAAATGTTAGCAATAGTGTTCAATGCATATTGTCCGTTTACATTTTACGACGGACTTTCACAAACGGAAACATACGCAGGCCGTGTGCAACGCAAATGTTGTATTTCCGGTAACAAAGTACAGCTGTTAATTAGTTCCGGATTCCAAATAAGACCAATCGCAAATCTAAACAATTCCCTTTTTAAATAGATTATTATTAATTTTTTGTTTTGCATGTGTACAAAACAAAGAAATACATCTGCTAATCAATATACTGGAACTAAGTCAGAAGCCCTATTATGCAAACCCAATTTCCCCTGAACTTAGGACGTTGTCTAAAAAACTAGTTTTAATGATCGATTTCCATTATTTGCATGAAACTTGTTCTTGCTCCATGTAGGACTTGAGTTTTGTTGAGAAATGTCTATGCCTCCTTCTACATCATAGAGAATGTTGCTCTGAGCAGAATGTTGCGCCTATATATATATATATATATATATATATATAATGTACTGTTTGGCTGAGATGCTGAAATATACCTTCTTTATACTGTATATATCCCTTGTTTTAAGGCCTTTCTTTTCGTTGTTTGTTAACATTAGTTAAACATGCTGTACTGGCTGCAATGTTTTTTCAACATGTGCATCAATGATCTAGCAGTCTGTATGCACAGCCAGCAATATTGGAACCCAGAATGTTTTATTATTGACAGCCAAAAAACATTGCTCTAAGGAAAATATTCAGAATCATTCTCATTTGGTCACATGTAATTACAGTTACTGAAATCCAAAAAAAAAAGAATACAAAATGATAGTTCTGTACACAGTTTATGGTTCAAATCAATGTTAACACAAAGTTAAAACAAACAATAATTGTTACACTGTGATGAACAGTAGAGACTTACATCTTACAAAACATGTACTACAAGCCATTACAAAATAATTACATAAATTATTTTTTTTTTCTTATTTGACAAAATGTACTTCTTGTTCCTAGACAGCCGTCTATACGTCGTAGAAGAGACGTACCAAATGATAACGAATGCCAAAAGCTATTGCACTGCCCATGACCTAAGGGGAGAAGAGAGAAGAAACCAGAACAAATCCACATTAATAAAATCTCAAGAGTTTCAGTGTAATTGAAAGTTGTGTGCTGAATTATACCTGTATCATAAGCATTATCACTGTAAGAGTTCTTTCATGGACAGGACCAATTATTTTCAGAACTAGATTTATTAGAGTCATGTTGTTGCACTCGATAACGTCATCATCTTCCTTCTGGCTTTGGTGTATCTGAAGTACCTTCAGTAACTCTGCCACCTGTAAAAAATAGGAGTTTGACTTTTTTAAAAGGTTTTTAAGTTTGCTAATGACCAGAATTACATCAATGTTTATCATAATATATATAGAATAATATATTCAGGAATTCAATTTTTACCTTTAGAATCATGTGTCCTAATTTAGAGACATCCTTCCTCTTAAACTTAGCGTAGCTCATACCAAGTTTTCCTGTGTCTGCATTTAGTCTTGTGTGAAAGTGTAACAAAGACAATCAAAAAATAAAAAATAAATGAACATCAGAGCCAAACAACTGTACAAAAAACTTCACATCTTGATCAGTAGATACCTGGGGAGCCGGTGCCTGGGACAGGGGATGATGTGGAGAAGCTGGGGTAGAGAGTAAACAAAGTTCACCACTTGTGGAAGGAAAAACAGCAGCATCGTTTTGCTGAAGTGTCCCAGTATGCCAACTACAGCAAAAGTCATCCCAGCAAAGTAGCAGAAAGTGTCTCCTACGAAGACAGAAGAAGGGTACCTGTGGACAAATTATAAGACAATCATCAACAGCTCCAATGTATGAAAGGACATACAGACTTCTTTTTGAAATAGACAGCAGATGCTGCACCTATACCATTAGAGAATGAGAAATATTAATTTACTCACCAGTTGTGGTACAAAAGTGCTAAAGTGGTGAAAAAGAATGGTATCATGAAGTAAAGTGAAAAGACATGGTCATCGTGGTATTCTCCTGAAAAATATACAGAAAACATATTTTCTGTTGATATCATAATGATTTCATTAGCAAAAACTATGGTTTGCCAAATTTGTTAAAAGATAAGTAAAAGATAAAATAACAATTAAGATGAAATAGCCCAAGGTTTTCCACAAAATAGTCACAACAAATGTATAAAGTGGGCAGCAACAGTCAAGTGTTATGGATGCAAAAGAGTATGATAGACAGAAAGGGAAAGTAACACAAACCATTTAGCTCTAGTACGTTGAAGATGATGATGGAGCCGGAGATAAACAGAGCTTGACCTGACTCGATGCCATTAATGCCTGCCAAAATGTTGATGGCATTAGTGCAGAACACTGCCAGCATTCCCATGTAGACATAGTAGAGAATACCTGTAAATGATCAATGACAAAAGTTTAAACAAATAGCACAATAATAAAATAATAATAATAAGTAAATACTTACAATATAAATTGTAAGTACTATATTATAAAGAAAATTAATTCAATAAACTGTCATATGTAGGAACATTTTAAAACAATGGAATAAAATTTGCATTTGGGCAACTCCCCCCAAAAAACCTATGTAACTCACCAAGATCCAAATGCAGGCCGAGAATCGCTCTGAAGGGCTTTGGTACTACAATGATTGTATTGCCAAAGTTTGTAAAATAAACCATAAGCAGCGGGAGAGAAGCAATTGTAGGAAGCAGCAGCTTGTGTCTCCATCGCAGGTTCAGCACATCATCTGCGAAACCCAGGAAGATCATACAGCAAATTGCCAGAAGAGCACCAATCAGCTGCACAAACTGGTCATGAAGACAGAGACAATGAGGGAGGCAGAGGGAGATGTACAAACAGAGAGAGAGGAGGAAAAATACATTATTTTTTTGTAATCAGTCCTTTTTTATTGTAATGACATTGGCAAATTTAGCCTGAACAAATAAAGCAAGAAGAACATCACATGTACATTAACAACACTAGTGTTTACAGTGTGCATAATTAAACTCTCCCTGAGTTTGAATAGCAATACACAATATAACTAAAAGTTAAACTAACGTGCCTAAATGCATTGTAGTAATACAAAACGTTTTACTGTGTGCAGGTAGTAAGCTAGTTAAATTTTTTTTATTTTTTTTTTAAACCTAAACAACTGACCTGCTCTTGAGCACTAAACCTACCTCATCATGTGGAAATCCCATGCACTGATCTCCCATAAAACAGCTCAGAAAAGGCACTGGGATAAAGCAGAAGAGGACGATGAGGAAGACTGTACCACTAATCACTCCCTGAGACTCTGGACTGAGACCATGTTGAAAGAGAGAACAACAGTATAAACATCCTTCTTCAGATACATGTGGCTAACAACAAGAGCAATATATAAGTAGAAGGCATCTCAGTCATCTGTAATTTTCACAATATGTTGACATAATTTGGATTTCTAATCTGTGAATACTGCTTCAAATTACGTATTTGTCGAAATATAAGCTATTGTTATTAGTATGTTCTTTATATATGATATATTAAGTTCCTTTCCACTGCTGTTCCCATTGTTCAATAGTCAGTACCATTTTACCTTTATTTTGCTTTACATGTACGTACATAACTTGTTATATACAGAAAAACGTATTTGCCTGCATGTACTTTCAATTCTTTGAGACCAATGGGTTTATTATTATTTGTGGTTTCAACTGTGTAATGTCTTGATAAATAAATTGCTAAACATTAAACATAAAACATACGCCACGTGTCTGTCAATCTGTCGTCGTGTATGGGTTTTTACCAGGTACCAAAATTCGGCCACACCAACCATTTAAAATTTATGGCAGTGTTTTTTAATAATTTACCCATGTTGAGTTTCGCATTCATTGTGACTATTGCAACGCGAGAAATAGAGTCAGGTTTTAATATCGCGAGACTTCATAGCCATACATTTATGCCATAGGTCGTCGCATTTGATCAGGTTTGCACAAGATACAAACAACGTAACATATGATCGCAAAATAATAAACACCCGGTTCTAGCTCTATATCAGTACAATAACTTACACTTGTTCTTTGGTCACTTTGTTCAGATCAAATCCGAACAGCCCAGCAGAGATGAAATGGTGTTTGAAGGCAGGGATCACTTTAAGCGTGGCCACGAAGCCCAGAAGTGACATCGAGACGTTGATAAGCAACGGCAGGACCGGCAAAGCGGCTGCAGCAGGCATTTTTCCAGGCTAAAACTCATTAAATGTGACGTTTAACTTTCATTTAACGCTTTCTTGTCCAGCTTCCACGTCACAAATTGAAGACGCAACCTCTTCCGGTTGAACTCTTCAAACTAAAATAGTGCTTTATTATGAAGACGGGCATAAAAAATGTGTGGAAAATGCTTCTTTTTTCCCCTTAATCATCGAAACCAATATACATTATTAAATGAATAGGGATTATTTGACAAATTAAACTGTTCTGTAAAGAACGGCACACAAATAGAGAAAATAATGGGGATTTGCAAAAAAACAAACAAAAACAACAGGATCAATCCGTCTTAAATGTTGTCAAATAAACAATAAACACAACCGGAAGTAGAAGGTGCCATTCATTAAAGCAGAATTATTGTGTGCAATGTACTCAACAACTGAAAATCAATCTAATCTAAAACTCGGGTTCTGGATAATTTTGTTTGATTGATGGCTTGCACATGAGCAGACTTCAATCATATACTTTCACAACAATCCTCATATAATGCTATGTCATTGTAATAGTCCTCCTGAGGACCTTGAACAACAGCCTTGAAGGCTAAGTAAAAAATAATCTTAACAATTCAAAGCATCTTGGCAATGGTAATGATTAGACAGCCTTGTTCAAAGCTGAGGTAATTGCTAGTTTGAGGTAGCAGGCATCATTTAAGTTACAAATGTCTTACACCTATTAATTTCCTACGTAGTATAGAACTAAACATTTGATTCAGCTTAACTAATCTTTAACAAATATGCGGGGTCGTGCTTTTATTTTGGAAGTTCTCATTTTACTTCTTTGTTACTGTGTATAGAATTTCGATTCTCCTGCAGCGTCCTCTGTAGACATCAGATGCAATAACGAGAAGAGTTAGCTCGTCCTTTTCAAAGCTTTAATATCAGTCACCTAGACTGACGCAAATCATTTTTATTTGCGTCAGTCTAGGTGGCTGTTAGAGTTGGTGTTAAGAGAATTGTTATCCTCAAACTGGCAGTACAATGTTCATTTGTTTTTCCCAGACATAATAATGTAATTTTTATGATCATTATCATCGCGATAATATTAAAAATGATCAAACCCAGTACTTGAGTCAAATTATTGACCCCACTGTTTAAAAGTAAATCCGATAAAAGTTAAAGGTACATTTCTTTACTACATTACTGTTCTCACAATAATGACTTTTAGTACTGTAGTTGAAACCTGTTGAACAAACAATTGGCACAGTGTTACACAATGTAACATACCCGAACTTACAAACAAAACTTCTGTTTTTAAAATATTTGTAACACTTTAAACAAACACCCCAGCAAGCCATCGAGGACAAAGAAACAGTTCTAGCTGTGTGTGTACTCAGGAAGACAGTGGAATAGGTGGGACCAAACTGCTATACCACTTTAAGAAGAAGAAAAAAATGTAAACAGCAAACATCAAAATAAAAAGTAACCTTGGCTGCCTCGCTGCACACAGTAATGTTACAGAAATGTTATTATTATCTCCAAAAGCTTAAACATACAATTGCAAAGGGAGTTACAAAAACCTTGACAGAAACGTAATGAAGTAAAAGAACGATATTAATAATAATAAAAACTAGCTAAATTGAATACTGATCCTAAAGTTTAAGTTTAAGTTAGTAAAAACTGCACTTAAATGAAATGAATCAAGTAAATGTACTGCGTTAATGTCATATACGTACGTGTACGTTCATGTACGTGTATGTTGTTACAACTTTACAGTGTCACCCCCCACCCTTATTTTAAACAGATTACTTTATAACCAGATAATCCGACTTTATAATTGTAGTTCTGTAAACAGCTCGTGCGTTCGAGCGGTAGGTTCTCGGCGCCTAAATATTTGAATGTGGTGGGAAGTTATTGGATTGGTCGTCTTTATCTCTCTACAGGGTTGTATCGCGACAAAACCGCTGGTTTTGTGAAACGGTAGTAATGATTGGCTTACATCATCACACCGAGCCACACCTTTCCTCTTCCGCGTTACCACGATAGCCAATGTTATTCTGCCATTTCCATTTGACTAGCCAATCGTCTCGTAGGGTTGGAAAGCCTGGGGTTTTATACTCCGCTTGTGACTGCTCGACTCTCACACTTTGTTAGACTATCTAGGAAACGAGGATCGAATCATAATGTCTGGAAGAGGAAAGACCGGGGCCAAGGTCCGTGCTAAGGCTAAGACCCGCAGTTCTCGTGCTGGCTTGCAGTTCCCAGTTGGTCGTGTACACCGTCTGCTACGAAAGGGCAATTACGCCGAAAGGGTTGGTGCTGGGGCTCCCGTCTATTTGGCAGCAGTGCTTGAGTATTTGACCGCTGAGATCTTAGAACTTGCAGGAAATGCTGCCAGGGACAACAAGAAAACCCGCATCATCCCTCGCCACCTCCAGTTAGCTGTCCGTAACGACGAGGAGCTGAACAAACTTCTTGGCGGTGTTACAATTGCCCAGGGCGGTGTCCTGCCGAATATTCAGGCCGTCTTGCTGCCGAAGAAGAGTGGCCAGGCTGCACAGACCACAGGCAAAGGGGGAAAGAAGGCTCAATCTCAATCCCAGGAGTATTAAACCTACAAATGTAGTCATTCAAACCAAAGGCCCTTTTAAGGGCCACCCTTCCTCTCGAAAAGAACTTACAAATCCTTGTAATTTATTTTCTTTCTTGAGTTATCACAAGGTAAAGAAATACAAATACTAACAAAGTCCTTATAAGTAGTTTCTGTGTGATTTCCAATACATTGATTTTATAGTGTAATAGATAAGTATTACCCTTTCCCTGTTGTAATCCAGGAAAATGGCAACCTCACGTTTTCTCCCCTGTATTTAAACAGGAAAAGGGTGAATGTATTTATGGCCTTGGTTGTGGTTTTATTAACTCCTCGTGGGGTTGGCTGCCCGTAGCCTAGTACGTTATCTGTATGAAAAAATGTGTTTACCAGGTCTTCCATTACTGTAATTTCCACTGCCTATTGAAACTTAAATGTTGACCACGAATGCTGAATCTAGCAGCAAATTTTGAGACCCTGGCTCTGTCCTTTGGCTCCAGTGGAGAGGTGATTCTATATCGTTTCCCACGTGTTTCCATTGTTGACTTGCAGATAAAATATTTTAGTGGGTGAATTGGCGGGTCAATGTGTGTTCTTGCATGTGTGCCAAGTACTCACTTAAATATATTCGCTTACTTTGCAAGTAAGCTCATTTAGCTCATTTATGTAATACACTTTATTGACCCATTGTTATTGATTACTTTTATTTAGGTATATGCTGAATTTAAAGTTTGTAGGAGCATAAACGTGATTTTCATCACGGGGGAAAAATCGCTTCAAACTTGATTAATGTACAACTTAAAAAAAAAAGAAAAAAAAAAGACGTTTCTGCACTAAATGTCGCTGACAAAGAGGATGGGAATAAAAGCTGCTACAAAGGCCTAGTGACTCGTCTGTTCCTGTATGTATTTGGCCGCATGGTGTGCCAATCAAAAATAACGTCCTGTACCTGTCTGCATGGATTCTCTGCAGAGCTTGTCACTGCCCGATCTGCGTATCTTCCGTTTGCGCTTGCGCGAAATGGGCGCCATCTTGGACTTCGGAAAAACGGCAGCTCCACTTGGACAAACTTTATTCGAGCACCGTGCGCAAATCGAAGAAACAGCACCACTGTATTCAAGAATACAGCGAAAGTCTGTAGGCATACATTATTGTTCAAATATATATATAAAATATTATATATATATAAAAAGATTAAAATATAAAAAACAGTAACGTATATATTAAAGAGCAAATATAATCAGTATTTGCTTAATGTTTTGGTTCTAGTCCATTTTATATGCTGTCATCTCTTGCTGTCTCTCGCTTTTTTATTTCTTTCTAAATATACATATACATGATATAAGATTAGATGTCATAATATCCTCGAGACAATGTGGCTTGCTGTAGTATATGCATAATTTAATAATAATAATACTCGTGATAACATGATAAAGATGACAATTAATTTATTCTAGGGTGTTTTCTTGAGTTTTTACAGTGCTGTTCTGCTGCTGGACCTGTCAATATCCCAAGGGATTAATAATGTTCTTTATATCTATATTATATTTAATTATTGTACATTTCAGATGTTACAGTACATTTTACAAAGATGCATCTTTTATATCACCACAAATTAAAGATGCATTTTTGAAATGATCATTTAAACACACATTTTAACTTCAAACAAAACACTAAACAAAGGACAGCTTTCGGTGTCCTTGCCACCTGAAGTATATCAAATTTAAGGCCAAATAAGATTGTATTGTGTGAGACATGTGGGTGCTTGCAGTGCCAAGGATATACACCAGGGGACCGAAAACAATTATAGAATTGTATACTACATGGTTTTATTTTTTTAAAACACAATGGTGTTATAGGTATGTATGAATCAAAAAAGTTTTGTGGCAATATAAGAATATAAGATTTATTTTAGATTATTCACTTTTGACATGTGGGTAGTGGTGGCCTGGAGGGCCAGGAAGGAGACTTGCATTTGGAAGATTGTAGGTGCAAATCCACCAGTGGATAGGTGCCACTGAGATGTACTGAGCATGGCACTGTCCCCTTCTCCCTGGGCACTTAGAGCTGTCCTCCGCTCACTAAGGTGATATGTTAAAGGCAGAGGCCAAATTTCATTGTGTGTTGTACATCAACAACAATAATTTACTTTCAATTTCACTTCCATCTATGACTGTATAACTAGTAGGCAGATGTGTGTTACAACCTGTGGGCCATAGTCTACCTACCACCTGGGATTGTTGTTAAATTCACCATAATGTGGTACTATGACAACTATTACTGTATAAGGTTATAGGGCTACAAAATCAAGGTGCAAGGTTTTCATTTTTAAGGTCAACTATTTTGGTTTTGTTTCTTTATTAACTAGTGGACAACAATTGTCTAGTCAGTGCACTTGTGCACCATCTATCAAAAGTGTCGGTGAATGTGTTGGACCAGCCTAGTAAGATTCCACACAGTGGCAAGTATCAGTAAGACATTCTCTGATTGGAAGTTTGTCTAAGATGTTTCGTGGGTTGAGGACATTGCATATACACATACTATATATCATTATATCACCGTAAAGAGTCATAATAATGATTATAAAGGTACCTACACCAGTTCCAAGGACAAACTACATCATATTAGGTAGTTAACAGTAAATAAATGAACAAGTACTTTCACATATAAAACACACCCTTAAAGTTTTACCAGACAACAAATAAACAGCTCAGCAAAAACATTAACCAGCATTAACAGTTTGACTGGACTTGACCAAAGGTATTTAAACAAATAACAATGCCAGGAGCTGTTTACAGTGCTTACCTTCAAACACATTTACAGTAAACACTGGACCAAGGTAGCACCCTCATGGATCACAAAAACTAAAGTACGGGGTCCTTAAATGGAAAAGCACCATTCATTTCTTGATACTTACAGGCAAGCATAGCACAACAGTGACATCTGTGACCTCAGTTAGCTACTATATATATTTACTGTATATACACACACATACTGTATATATATACAGTATATATATATATATTTATATATATATATACACACATATATATATACACATATATATACACACAAGTTAGGGCAACTTTGGGGAGGATGAAGTGCTTGAGATTGTTGGTCCAGAGTACATACATTGTTTGACCAGATAGGATGCCTAATAAATGTGTGTAGTGGTACTACACAAGGGTGTTAACATGTAGTTTTGGGTTGTGGGAACAACAGAGGCATGAAGTTGATTAGCTACATAACAAAAGTATAGGGAATAGCTGTGGAAACGAGGCTCAGGCAAGAGGTTCAGTATTAGTGTATGCCCAATATAAGTACTACCCATGTAATTTTGCCATCACAAATGTAGGACCTGGGGTACCGAAAATGTGTTCAGTACACGCTCGTATTAGCTTCAAACATCCTGTTCGGTACAAATACACATGGAACACGTATTTACTGTAACAGTACATGTGAATACACAATGCATTCTAGTTCACACTGCGCACTCTTTACACACACTGTTTACAATGTTTATTTTTGCAAAAGATTCAAGTTAATTACCCTTTGGTTTACCACTGTCCCTCTTTATGTATTGTTGTTTTTTCCTTTCATTTTGTTGCCCAGTAAGGCTTTTAAAATGTGCTAAATGTGGTTTAACTGACATAAAGGTAAAAGGTCACACAGACCTTTTGCCTTTATGTTAGTTAAACCACTAAAACAACTTCACCACAGAATAAGGGTTTTTTTTTTTTTAAACAGTCTACCTATCAACCATTTTCCTTATCTCTTCACAGACAACGCTGACTACCCCCATGTGCCCTTCCCCCACCCCACACCGGGGTATCTAAACTTGTAATATACACAAGTGATGGTTGTGTGTACCACACAGCAGAGGTGTCCACGCAGTATTTGGGGCGAGTGGTGCTGGACACTTGGCCGGGATCCTTTACAACATCCAGGTATGTGGTTTACAAAGGCTAAAGTGCAGCCCCTGGTGGAATGTGTGTGTTAATATCCTGCTGCACTCTGCCTATTCTTAAGCGAGTCTTAAGTGTGAATTATGGCCACATTTGGGAACACACACACACTCGTCTAAATTCGTATTGGACAACAATACTGTCAAATCTCCAAAATGTTTAGGAACAATAAGAACAATTCGTTACGTCAGCATTCCACAACAAATCCGCCTCCAAATGCCTTTGTGTTGAATGAGGCTGCTACAATTTTTCATTGATGTATTGTGTACATGCCAGTCTCAGTCTGTGTGTCATTACCTTAGCCTCACTGACACGAAGCTGAGAAGAGGGGCGGGGGAGGAGACAGTAAGGGGAGAGGGGTTGGCTTTCGTATGATGTGAATGGAATAGAATTAGAGCAGAGTGGGAGGAGGCCGGCACAAATCAACCTGCCTCTAGACAACAGAATAGACGAGTACGATTTAGACGCGAAATTTTGGGTGTGTGGCGTTTTTTAAAAAAATCCAATTTTTTTGTCGAAGAGACGCCCCGCAGCAGCGAGGAACTGAGAAAGGGAAATAACCTAATTCTGGAGCACAGCAGAAAAATCTTGTCTTGCGGAGGCAATTGGCAGAGAGGAACATGATGAAACAAGGCAGGGTCGAGCGGAGCTGATATGTGGAGGTAAGCTTTCGGTTTTCTGACAGGAATTGTAGAACATTCACATTAATTCGTCGTTGTATATTCATCTGTCGTGGTGAATTGATGTAGACGAACATGCAGCCCATGACACATCTCGCTATATCTATATAATATGTATGTAAAAGAGGAAAGAAGTGTCGGAGCGATAGAGGATGTAAAATAACGGCTTGACGTAATCACGTCATAATGCAGCTTTGCCCTCTGTCTGCCAGTCGGCCCATTGTTTGGCTACAAGCTCCTCAGAAGGTCATATTCGTTTAGGAAGCCAAGCGTTCTCATACACGGCAACACGACGATGGATCAAATGCAACATTTGTCAGTCTTCAGCGACCACCCGCCCTCTCCCCCACTCACCACCACCACCACTGTGACCTGTCTTCATTTATGTTAGCCCCATCATGTACACGCCCCCTTTTTATTCATTTATTTATTCATGAATTTATTTTTTATTTTTTCTTATTGCATTCTAAACACTGGAGTGTTGAATAAATGAAGTAGCGATGAAATTTTCATGAAGACCGGGGAAGAACGACCCATGGCCATAGCTTCTGTTACTGCTGTGGCTGCGAGGCTCAGAGCTGAGGGCAGGTTGAAGAAGGTCAAGGGATGTAACGGAGGAAGAGAAGGATGAACATAAGGAGAAAAAGAAGCACAACAATGCTTCATAGCAATTTGACGTGTGTGTGAGAGAGAGGGGGAGGGTGGCAGGGGGAGAAGTAATTGAGATTGAAATGGGATTAATTGTGGGAGGTTTTTTATTATGATAGCAAAAGAAATAATGGGATTTGGGTTCATGCTCAAGATGGAGCTTCTCAGAAAAGCATTTGACTATAGTTACATTACGGAATTAAGAAGAAGTCAAACAAACCTTTATTTGTTTGCAATTTGCACCACTGCATGTTAGTTGTTCAGAGAAGCAGCATCAGCGGCTTATATAAGTGAAAACATTCAAATAATGAGTGGCACAGGTCTCCATAGACATAAACACAAGCATCAGAAATTACAGAATCCAGTATAGAGGAAGTTATCTTAAAATGGTGTGTGGTCACCAGTAAATGTGATGAAATGACAGAGGGATGTTTGGGTTATTAAGGTGTACTTAATAATAGGTTAAACAGAATAGAATTCATAATAACAACATGGTAACTGTATAGTTGTGGGTGTAATGTCACGATGCCCGTCACATTGATACTATGCAGTTTATCTTCTCTGCATTTTAAATAATTTCTTGACATTTGAATCAAATGTTCAGAAATACTCTCAACTCCATCATTGTACTACCAAGATACTTTATGACAACTGTGAGACTTTTCAGGCCCATTTATTGCCACAAGGATTTAAATTTAAAATTATCTGCTCGGCATCTAAATCACATTGATAAACATTGGTAAATAATACTGCTTGGTTTTAATAATTTTCTATAATTGAATATATGATTTTATATTCCTTTTTAAAGGATTAATTTCAAGTATTATATTACTAAGGAAGCATTACAACAGGGCAGTATAATCCAATATATTTAAATACTAATTCAATGTTCCTTCACTGAGTAAATGTCGATGATAAAAATAGTAGTGAATTCACTGGCACGAGGGTTTTTAAGAAACCGTTGACATAGACCTCTGACACACATGCAAATGTTGTAAGTATTTGCCCAGTGATATGAAAACTGATACGTGTTTATAAAATGGAGCTAAACATCAGATTCTACTATGACCCAGTTTTCCTCCTTACTTATATTTCCAAAATATTGGAGAACTTGTCCTTACTCTAAAAACAAACTAAAAATACTGAATGCTTCTTGTGTTGTCAATAAATTGTCACTAAACATAAGAAAAACTAGGGATGCTTGGAAGCCAAACCGGTGACTGGCTGGTTAGCATACTGCTTAGCATTTTTTAGTGGGTCATTGTATACATGCCTTCTGCGTTTAAGGACAGGAGACGCAGCACGATTAATTCAATGTCCATCGTTTTTTTCCACATACCATACTTTCACACTTAGCATGCTGATATTTTGCCAATCAGATGGGCCATGCATGCACACCGTTTAGCCAATCGGATGACCAATGTCCACTAACGTTCCTGCAGGAACAGGTAGTTGTAGAGAACGGTGGAGGCTGGAGAGCAGAACAGCTAAGATGCAGAGGAAACGCTTGTGGCAAAAAGAAATAGCACCTCTGCAATTTGGCAATAATTTGGAATTAAGCAAAAAGACAGTTTACAGACTCAGGTACTGTGAAGGAACTGCAGAGCGGTTGTAGCAACATCTAGAGGCAACGCCAGCAACCACCTGCTGCACCACCTTAAAGAGCTGAACGAGCAATTCAAGGCCAGTCGATCCAGAGCACAAATGCTGAGCAGCAGTAAAATAACACGAGCATCACTGCAGCAGCAGTCCATGGCTGAGAGTTTTGTGATTCAGACTCCATAGGAAAAGTTTTTCTAAACGACACACTGAAGTTATGGAGGCCATAACTCACTATTTGGCTAAGGACATGACGCCCATTAATACTGTGACCACTGCAGAAACAGTGGACCTGAGATACAGTTTACCGTTTCTCACAGATGGTCATGTATGAGGGAAACAAGAGGAGAGGTAAAACTAGCCTTGTCTTCAGTCCAGTTGCACAGGCATATATAAACTACATTTAAATTTGAAATTGTTGTTTGTAATATTTTAGTTTATCTCTACTGCTGTTATACAGAGTGAAAACGTGCACTAGTGTGTGACATTCCATAGGTTCATTTGCACAGACACACTTTTATATAAACTTAAAATAATCAATAATAAATACATTTTCCTTAACTTATTTGTCTTGTTAAATTATGTTGTGCAACAAGAGTTATCAATAAACCTTTAATGTTTACCCATTTCCAGCATGGCTGATTGGTCAGCCAAACATGCAATTGTAGTTGTGATCATTTAATCCACACCGTTAATCGTTAGCGGCAAAATGTCATAAATAATGAATTATGGTTGATGTTCACAAAAAAAACCCCACTAAACTAAGGCTTTTGCAAGACGTGTGGAGCTTTGACAACAAAAAGCAGGCTATAACTTACAGGATGCAGAAACAGTTTAGTAACACACCATGTAATTCATTTACGACCCATGCGCTGCACAGTGATGGTGCTGATGCTATTCATTTATTTATTTTACTTCTACAAAATGAGTGTGGACAAAATTATGGAGATGGGCTGCTATAAAAAACAACAAAACACAAACAGTTCTTGTAGCAAAGCTGCGGTTCCTTTTTCCAAAGCATCAGCCATGTTGAACTTCTCTTTAGCTTTCAGAGCACATACTGACACAGACAGAGCCTAACTTGTCCAGTGTAACTCAAAGGTTGCTTCAAGAATCAAAGCTCACATTTAAATGGATACTTTACTATAACTACAACAAATATTTGTTTATTTGTTCTATTTTTCTAAATAGCCAATCTAATGAGAATCAATAATATAATTGACAAATTATATGCACCGTAAATCCTTATCTCTCAACACAGTACAGTCATTTAGAGAGCCACAAAAAGTGAGAAAAAAGTGAGGATGAATTACTTGTCATTGTGACAACTCTGTGTTTTAAGACAACAACGCCCCCTAGTCCATTTGAGTATTACATCTGTCTTTTTGTATTTGGGGCACACTTGTCAGCCATGTCAGCCTTTCTTCTGTACAATAGTGCACAGGTCCCCAACCCCAGGTCCATGGACCGGTAGTGGTTCGTTGGCCAGTTAGTACCAGGACGCAGTATGCTGCAGTGAGAGAATCAATCATTTTAATTAATTTAAAGTCCATTTACTTTCTTCAAATAAAGATAATCTAGATCCGTTTTCTCAGTCTTTCAGAGTGAATAACACTATAGTAAGTCTATAGGATGTTTATGGATCCTTTAATGATAAAACAAAAAGATCAGCACAGCACTACCAGTCCATGGGTATTGTTGATGATACAAAATAGGTTGCAGGTAGGTAGGTAGTGCTGCAATAGCACGTAGATGACACACAACTACATCACTTTGTTGAAGTGATACTGTATTCATGACTTGAGGAAGTAAGGTTTAAGGGACAGTGCTCTAGACGAAGTGTTGTTGAATGTACTTTCTGAACCTTAAATAAGGCTCACTGCATACTGTAGTCTGAACACTGATTTATTTAATATGATGCTTACACCTGTGCATGTAGTAGTGACATATTTATTACATTAATATTAGCATTGTTGCCAAGAATAAAAGAATTACAATTCAGTTCAAATGCAGTAAGGAGATGAGTTTGACTTTGATTTGATTCTGCAACAATTTCAGTGGTTGCATTTAACTTGCACCATGTAACCTTCAACAATAAGTGTGGACTTGTGCTGCAGAATTGCACATGATCTGCAGTAGGTGTGAAAGCATGTAGTAGTAACAATGACATGGTCTATCTTCCCTATATCAGTCATTACTTCCTGTTTTACAGGATGCAGGCTTGCATGGGTGGTTGAAAAATATGTCATACATGGCCATGACTTCCCCAAAGTCAGAGATGAGACTTAAACGAACTAAAGCAGCATTCACACTCTATTAATACCATGGCTTATCTTACAGAGAACCCTCATTTTATGCACTTTGTTGTTGTTGTTTTTTTTATAAACATTATAAGCACAATACGGAAACCAGTATAATGACGAGGTTTGATACTGGTCAGACACTGGATTTGACACCACTGATTTGACAGGGCCATATATATACAAATGAACATACTTCTTTTACTATATATACAGTATATATATATATACATATATATACTGTATATATAGTAAATAAAGTATGTTCTCTCCTGTGTGGAGGTGATTGTTTAGATCAGTGGTGTTAAACTCATTTTGGATCACGGGATCGCATACAAGCTAATTAGATGTCAAGTGGGCCGGACCAGTACAATCATACAAAATTACCTATAAGTAACAAAAAGTCTCTTTTCCCGTTTGAGTTTGTGCAGAGAAGTACCAGTATGTTAGATATGGGCTGAAAAAGACGTGCTTTGTATATGACAGATCTCATGAATACACAGAATAAAACTGTCAAGTAATTCCTTCAGCATTATTTGCTTTGGGAGTGTAGGCTAACATTATCACACCATCATACTTGCACATCATACCTGTTTATAAAGACTTTATGATTTCCAAATTAGGAAGCACTACATTCATGTCTCCCCAGTGAAGCCAGGGAGATATGCACCTGGTGTCCTGGTGTTTGGGTGGGGTTTTACTTAAGCAATTCAGGAGAACTGAGCAAATTTGCTTTGGCACAGGCTGTTGCAGGGTTGGGACACTTAAACCAACGGCAAGCCTTTTTGTGATAGGATGGTTGCACGCTGTAATGTCTAGCTAAATTCTGTGTCGCCTTTTCACTGGGGCACGTGACTTCTGACCCTATTTCAACCCACTGACACCAGTCACTTTTTGGGATTCCACTTGCACTGTGTACTAGTCATGAGTTGGCTCTTTATAGTCAACTTCCTCACTTTAATTCCGCTGCTCAAGCAGGACATTGTGTTTGTGTTTGCACCTGAGATAACCCTGAGCAGACACGGAGCACGACACAAAAGCCGCGAAGGTATCTGTTATAACGCCACCAATGTGATGCTGGACTCTTAGAGTTTTTTCAGGTAACCAAAAACTAGATAAACTGTTAATGCAGTGGCGATTAGCTCTGGTTTTATATTTGATTTGATTACTTCAATTTTAAAGTTTTTTAATATTAACTGCTGTTGTGTTTACGAACCAAAGCTATCGCATGGTTGTTCATATCGTATACTGAAACAAATGTGCGTCCTGGACTACTTTTGGATTAATTAAATTTTGCACATAATGTGATCGAAATCATAATGTAATTGAAAAATGGCTAACTTTAACATAAAGAGTTCAAGTAAAATGTGGTAAAAGGTTTTTTTTATTGTGTGTGCAGGTCCGCAGGGGAGACAAGATAGGGGACGCCAGTACGTAGTACATCCTCCAGAGATGGCACACACCAAGCATCTTCATTTCAAAGAACAAAGACTTTGCACCTGATTTTCTCCACACCCTGCCACAGGAAGGACAGTCCCCCACAAAACTCAAACAGAACTAAAAAAAATAGTTTAATCTTCCAACAAGAGTTTTACCTTTGAAATGTCTCAGAGGACACAAGAGGTTCTTCATGTCAAGTGCTGTAGTTTGCTTTTATGCACTTATTTGTAAAAGAAGGGAACTCCTGTTTCACACCCACAAGAGGAGATAAGTCCACAGCTTTGGAAGAATTGGGTGTTCCCCACCAGAGAAAACAGCAAACGGTTGGACAGCAGCTGTTCCCTAAGGCACCATGCAGTCAGATGATCTCTTCATACGCAAATTTCGCCGTCAGAATGTGCAGCCCTCAATTGCCACTGTCAGTTACGATTCTAAACGGGAACCGAGTGTCGTGGAGTGGCCACCGAGTAGGGAAAATGAGGGACATGAAAGTGACAGCCTCACACCAAGTCGTGTGGGGCTGATGTTAAGGTCAGTGGGCCGTGGCCACATCATGCAGAGAAGTAACAGTGATGTCACTTTGGGAGACGTGGACTCTTCCAGCAAGACAGGGAGTAAAGCTACTTGGGTGGTTGGAGAAAAGGCGGGCGTTGGTTCTCAGAGTGAGTCAGGTTTGTTACTTCACAGGGAATATGGTAGTCTGTCTTCACTGGAGAGACAGAGTCAAGTCCAAGAGTCAAACACAGGTAACCACGGGTCCCCTAGTCCGAATGTCCTGAACCTCAAAGACCCCCTCAAGTTCATAGGGATTCAGAGCAGTCCTTCAGATGTGGATGCATTTTTTCCAGGCTTATTGGTTTCCACAGGAGATTCCGTAAAACCTGCCAAGCCTCCCAAGCCTGAAGGTCTAAGTAAGAAGTCCAAACCCGGGTCCATACACATTTCTCAACCAGCATCCTATGACAAAGGGGGTGGCACTGGTTTGAGAAATTTTGCCCATTATGATGTTCAGAGCATTTTGTTCGACCTAACAGAAGCAGCTTCCAACCGAGACAGTATCGGACGAAAAAAGAATATAACCTCTGGGGCGTCAGCAGCTTCCCAGCTGCGCCCCGTGTCTCACAGCACCCTCTCTTCACCTGCACCAGTCGGGGGAGGCAGCGGATGGAATGCAGATGACGCTGAGCAGGTGCTGGTGTTGGATGAAGGGGACGGAAATGATAACGATCTCCTGCTAAGCTGTCCTCACTTCCGCAATGAAACAGGGGGAGAGGAGCAGGTGGGTTTAGGCAGATTGAGGGGGGTGCGAGGACTCTGTTCAAACCTGCGAACCCCCAATGATGCAGTGTCCGTCCTGGAGGAGCCCAGGGAGAGTCACATCCAACAGCAGGGCAAAAGTAACTACTTCATCGAGCACGCAGATCTGGGAGCCCATTACTATCGCAAATATTTCTTCATGAAAGGTATGTCTTCTTTTGATTATGGGATTTGAACTTTTAACAACAATAATTGCCAAAAATATACTATACAGAATACAACTTAACTATGCTAGGATTGTAAAAACTCTTTTATAAAGTGGATAAATATATCTTTCCTGACCATACTGAACATGGTGCAGAGCTTTAACTATTTACACTGCATTTCAATCACAGAGCATCAAAATTTCTTTGGCATGGATGATCGCCTTGGTCCCGTGGCCATAAGTTTCCGCCGAGATGACAAAGAGGGATCCACAGGAGCTCAGCACAATTACAGGATCATCTTTCGTACCACAGAGGTAGGGTTGCATTTTTACTCCAAACTGCCCTTGTCTTATTGTGTGAGTGTTTTCTGACAAGACATTTATTTATGATGTAGATGAAGACACTGAGAGGTTCCATCCTCGAGGAGTCTGTGCCCTCAGCTGCCCGTCACACCACCCCCAGAGGCTTGTCTCCCAAAAGGCTCCTGGAGTTTATTTTGCCTGAAGTAAACCTACACTCTCTGCGCTTGGCTTCAAACTCTCCCAAAGTCAGAGACACACTGCTGAAGCTGGACGAACAGGGGGTCAGTAACTAAGACCATGATAGATAGATCGCTCCATCTATCTATCTATCTATCTATGTTTCTTTCGGTGTGTGATATGAATATTTATGAATAATAACCAAAAAACTTTGGTTCTGTTTACTCCACCATCTAATGGCCCACTTTTAATGCTCTCATTGGTCACATGATGAGACACATGATGACACCAGTCCTAAGCCAGTAATATTCAACGTCAGTTCTCTGAACACTGCAACTGTTTGGTCTTTTCACTAACAAAATCAATAATAATAATAGTCATCATCATCATAATCATCATTTATGAGCCAAATAATAAACAACACTAATTTATTGCAGTGTTATTTTGTCTTTTGGGATTTCACTAGCAGGGTGTACTGGAAACCTACCACTACTTCACAATGACGCACCTTCGGCAAAGTAATAAAAATATGCTTTCTTTCTTGCCTTTCGATCTTTTGACACAGCTGACATTCCAGAGGAAGGTCGGGGTGATGTACTGTCGTGCTGGACAGAGCTCAGAGGAAGACATGTACAACAATGAAAGCTCTGGGCCAGCATTTGAGGAGTTCCTGGATTTGCTAGGAGAGCGAGTGCGACTGAAGGGCTGGGAGAAATATCGAGCTCAGCTGGACAACAAAAGTGAGCCTTTTAACAAACCCCTTCCTTACACTGATCAATTGTTAAAAACTACCTTGTGGCAGAAAACCAGCCGGTGGACTGACTGCTGATAAATGTCTTCTAATCTGAGTATTATCTGTCATTAAGTTTTTCTTGCTTTTCTGTATGTAAATCTCTCTCTCACGCAGCCGACTCTACAGGGACACATTCCCTCTACACCCGTTATCAGGACTATGAGATTATGTTTCATGTGTCCACTATGCTGCCCTACACAGCCAACAACACTCAACAGGTAAAGTAAATTTACATTAATACAATCCGGCTAAGAAACTTTAACAAACACTTTTCTCAACTACCAAATAAAGTGCTCAATAAGTGTACTCAAACAAATAAAAAATGTATGTTTCATTTATTTGCTTTAATATTTTTTTTTTCTCAATAGTTGCTGAGGAAACGACACATCGGAAACGACATAGTGACAATAGTTTTCCAGGAACCTGGAGCATTGCCTTTTACTCCAAAGTCTATTCGCTCTCATTTCCAACATGTCTTCATCATCGTCCAAGTTCATGAGCCCTGCACGGACAACGCGTTTTACAGGTAAGATTTGATCATCAGCTGATCATCAGTTGATCACATGTTTCATTTTCAACTATATATTTCTCAATTATCTTTTCTATAAACCATGCATTGACATGGTACTGGAGTTCTTCAAGGACAGTGGACATTGTTGAAATTATGCCTGCTGTCAATGTACTTCCTAGCTTTTAATAAATGCTTAAGTCTGTAAACAGTTAAATACACCGACATGGTTCTGTATTGTCCACAGAACCAACTGTGCCGGTGTCTGTAAAGGCATATTTTGTCTTTGTCTGCCTTTATCATTCTTTCATCTAACTCTTTTACCAGGGTCGCTGTGACACGGTCTAAAGACATCCCATTATTTGGTCCATTATTTCCAAAAGGTGCCCGGTTCCCTCGCTCACCTGCCTTCAGGGACTTTCTCCTGGCTAAGGCAGTAAATGCTGAAAATGCTTCTGAGAAGTCCGAGAAGTTCCGCTCCATGGCTACCCGCACACGGCAGGAATACCTAAAGGATCTGGCTGAAAACTTTGTAACTACCACACCTATAGACTCCTCCACCAAGTTCCCACTGCTCTCACTGGGAGGAAAGCGCAAGGACAAGCTGAAGGGTTCCAAAAGTGCAGAGCTGCACAGCAGTGGAGCGCTGGTGTGGGCAGTGATGGTGTACAACAGAATTGAAGGAGAGGCAGGAGAGCAGAAACTCCCGTGTCTACTCGGAGTGTCCGCCGAGTTCGTGGTACTGATCGAGAGGTTCACACGTAGAGTCGTCTTCAACTGCTCATGCAGAGATGTGATTGGCTGGAAGATCGTGACAGATACTAAGGACGGTGGACCCTGCTTGGATATTTTTTATGAGCTCGGGGAATCTGTGTCCTTTGGTGTGATGGAGAGCCAGGCGGAGGATATACTGGAAGTGGTGCACAGGCTAGAGGTGGGTGAACATGGCCGCTCTGCAGATTAGAAATGTTGAGATGAGTCGTTTGTTTCCGACTAAATCTTTGAACTTTTCCACAAATCTGCAGCTGGTTACTCGAGGCTGTGAAGCACTAGAAGTCACTCCGCTGCGTGATGGGGTGGGTCAGCCTGGCTTCATCATGAATGAGGAGGGCTTCGTGACAGAGCTGCAGCGGTTCTGCTACGCTGAGAGTGGAGGGTTACAACTCTGGGCTCGTGTTGTGAGGCTGTGCGGACACTCAGTGGTTCACCTGAGTCCTGAAGACAGGGTCAGGCTGCTGCGCACAGCACACAAGATTCACATTACTGTTATACCCCCCGACAATAATGGAAAACCTCGAAGGTGCGTCGCCGGTCTTGAGTCATTCTCACAAATCCAGAGACACACACACAATTATTTTTGGCAGACGACCGCAAACCTTACCACACAGGCTTCTGTGAATGAAACAGAATATTTCTCTCTCTTTCTCACACCATGTGAGTTTTACAATGTGTTTCACTCACCTCACGCTCATTTATACACATGTATTCTTCCTTCATTCCTCCTCTCTCCAAAAACCTCCACCTCTCTGTTTTCCTCCCTACTTCCACCATGTATTACAATGTCATCTGCAAACATAATAGTCCATGGAGCCTCCTGTCTGACCTCATCAGTCAACCTCTCCATCAACATAGCAAACAAAAAATCAGAGCTGAACCCTGATGTAACCTCACACCTATCTTGAACCCATCAGTCACTCCGACAGCACACCTAATTTCTCTCTCCCTGGCGTTGTACATGTCCAGCAGCCGTCACACATTTTTCTACCTTTTCCTCCACCTCTGTTGTGCACAGTCCATTACTTTGGGTGGTAATGTAAGTTTTAATACATTGCAGCTTAGTCTTTGTTGCATGTTGTAAAAACTTATACACCCTAAATCTACACCTAAAAAATGTTGTTTCATGTTCTGCAGGAGTTTCTCAGAATTGTACAAGAAAGCTATAAACGATGCAGACTGTAAGCCTGGTGAAGACATGTCAGGGGAGGCCTGGGTACTGGACGAGAAGGACGTAGAAAGAGAGGCCAGGCCAAAGATGGACAGGTTAAATGACCCAGACGTAACAGAGGTGAAGGTCGAAGCCACGCCAGCTGAAGAGCAGTCCTGTGACGAAGTGCAACGCAAAGAAAGTTTGGCAAAGTGCGAGGAGTCACAGCTCCAATTAACCCCTGGGTTACCAGTGTCACGAGCCAACTCTCTCCAGGACCAACTGGCCAATAACAGCCAGCATGCGAGTGCAGCTCAGCTTACACGTAGCTTCTCTTTGGATACGCAGTCATCTTTCCAGGATACATTCAATGGGTAAGATTTCATACTATAATAACGCTGTAAAAAGACATCGGGAAAGTCGAGAAAGCTACTATATATAGGCTTGTTTTGTTTCTTCTTTTTGTACCATTTGCTTTGACACTTGACTCCTATCCTCTACCAGTAAATTGGTGACTATACAGAACAGATTATTTCATTTTAGAAAATAACTAATGATATATTTCACTTAACCTAAATATTTATCTACAGACATTTGTTAGCTCAGACTTTATTTGAGAGGGACTGGATTATAAAGGTTTTGCTGAGTGTCAGTTAACCATACTGTTACACGTGTTACGACATGTTTGTACTGTACTCCACATCAACAATGTCATCAACCTATGTTGACTGTAACTTTCATTTTTGTGGACAGGCACGTGTATAATGATGCCGAGTTAAAGGTGGACCAGCAAGTCTGTGAAAAACCTGGGGAGCTAGGAGATACAACGCCTGATCTTTTACGAGCGGTCAAATCCAAGGTTTATATGGAAATAAAAAGACAGACAAGGACAGCTAGTAAATCTTTTTTCAAACTGATCAAATGCTCTTTTCTCCTCTATTGTCTTCAGGTCATGGAAACAGATAACGATAAAGCATCAACAAGTGATTCTCCTCTCTCCTCCTCCTGGCTGTCGTGTGTAGACCACACCTCAGAGCAGAATTCACGAGCTCTAAGTCTTCACAACTCCATCACCAAGAGTATGAATATAATATGATTTATAAACAATAACAAATAGTCCATAATAATAATTAGCCCATAAACTAATGTGTGCGATTTAATATTCTCTTTGGTCGACTGCTGTCCGCTACTTAGGCTAACCTTACTAATGTTGTTTTCATCAGTTAGCATTTTATTTTGAGTTTAATCGTGTGCAATTCACTCTTCACACAGGGTAGGGCAGGCTTACTCTGGTCACTCTCTTTAGTCTTTAGACATTACCTGCATAAATTGAGATCTTGTCAGATGCATTACTGCCACCTACTGGGTCTGTTTTATATTGGTTAATATTTAATATAGATCTCTAGGGGAAATCATCTTGGCCTACAATAGACAGTGGAAATAAAGAGATAAGATTGAGAAAAAAGATGTTATAAACCAAATTAATGTTCACTGTACACTGTACAAAAGCTTTGTCACCCTTTGTGACCCTGTTATTCCAAAATATCCTACAGGTTATATTTTTAAGGATATCCTCTGTGCTATGGACTCAAAATGTTAATTTGAAAAATGACAATGTCTTACCTAAATGATCAAAACGTCAGTCTTATTTTCATGTTACAAATGCTTCATGTTTCATGCTACAAATATTAGCATCATCTGTTTCGGTGCATTGTTTATAAATGGTTGTGTTTCTGTTAGTTCTCTCAGAAACAACAGACTCCATGGAGGAGGAGTGGCAGTCTATTGCTGACCTGGCGACAGCGTGTCGCAGCATTCTGGAGGCTTTGTCGCGAGAGGGTCAGTAATATTTGTTATTTTCCTTCTGTATTCATATATAAAAAAGACACATTATCTGCATCACATCACAATTGTTCAAATGTAACAGACTGCAAAGCTGGAGATGTGTCACAAGTGGGGGCTGAACAGGTCGATGGCAAGATGAGAGACACAAAGGACAGGTAGGTTCCTCACTGTGCAGTTTCTATGATGAAAGATGTAGATCATTTTATATACGTCACATTCTTTTATTCTTATTTCTAGAGTAGTACTAATGCCACCCGTCTCCTCTGTTGCAGTGATCCTCCAGGACACTTAGAAGAGAAGGTTTCACAACTCGAGGCCATGCTGAAAAAGCTCCAGGATGACCTACAAAAGGTACTTTGACTCTCACAAATGTTTCTGTACTCACACACATATGCATGTTGTACACGTATTTAAAAATCCATGTAAACAAATCCAGTACATGTGTGTATTAATATATATATGCATATATGTGTGTGTGTGTGTGTGTGTGTATATATACACATATATATAGTTAATATGGACCTGTAAATGAGTCTAAGTTGTTGGTCTAGTCTATATTTACCTTTACATTAATGCATTTATCTGAGGCTTTTATCAAAAGACATTTACCAGAGGAGGATGAACAGTCAAGCTACAAAGAGAAACTCCATAAAGGAAATGACTAGTTAGGAAAACAGGACTTCCAGAGGGTGAGAGTGCACAGGCAGAGACAAGAGCAGAAGGACAGGGGAGGTACAGGAAGGAGCTAGGACAGGAGGCGCTCTGTGAGCCTGGTCTTCAGGATCTTATTGAAGACAGGCAGGGACGTCCTAACAGCGTTTTCATCAGTCGCAAGTTCACTTCCTGTCTTTCTCTAACTGCTGATTGGTTGGTTTGTTCTTAACTGTCTCTGCAGGTTATCAGTAGAGACACCCGTTATAATTGTTTTTACAAAAAAATGTTATCACTGTTTTAAAAATGCATCCAAAATGTTAGTACTTTCACTGCAGTGTGGTAACTTACTAAAGGTAAATGTTAAAGCGATCCCTTTTAAGGTACAGGTAAAAGAAATATAGAAAAAGAACAATTTTGGGGGTTAGTTTTAATGAAACTTCAAATGAAGATGTGCATTGCTGTTCTGCAATCACACAGTGTGACAATGGAATCTGAATTTGATCTGTTTTATTTTATATATATATAACTGTACCGACTGGTGTACTCTTCAGTTAAACCTTGCTGCTAAAGATTTACTCTTTTTTAGCTATTTTTATTTTAGCTATTGCAAACCCACAGTTGCCTGAAAGTTTTGTCTGGTTTTGTATTTGTTTAATTCTTTTGTCCAATGTGCTTTAAAGGCTGAATTGTCAATTAGAAACGGGTACAAACGTTTCCCTGCTCTGGGACAGGGACAGTATAAAAGGACGAGACATTTTGTCCAATTTTGAGTGTGAATGACTTAGCTTGTTTCATGTTATCATTTCTTAGGTTTTGTTTTTTGACTAAAATGGACTGCCTCCATCAGAAACATGGCTCAATAATACAGGGTGTGTATTGAACTCAGAATTCCAGGGACGAGTTGTTTTTGGAGCCAATAGGGATTTTGTTACCGTGGTGGAGTAGTTACATATGTTTTAGCAAACATGTCTATTTAATAATTAATAATGCCTTCAGTTTGGAGACGACACATGTATACACTGATGAAATGGTAGGAATACTGAAGAGTGAAAATGTCAAGAATTGATCAGATTCCACTGCCATATAGGAATCAATACTATTGATAGTCTGATCGACACACCAAAACCCTAGCACTTCATATAAACCTCCCTCTTCCCCTGTTAAACCATTTTAATAGTAATTTTGTCAATGACATACATTGTTCTTAAGTTAGAAAGTAAACAAGTCTTCCACAATGATAAATAATTATTTGGCAAAGCCAAACATTACCTAAATGTTCACCCCTACTTTTCTGAAGCAGCAGTCTGTCTGTCACTGAAAGGAGCTCCTTAGATCTCCTACAGTGTGGTGCAGCCGATGAGAGGGGTTGTCCTTCCAGATGCCTGGTCAACATCCTCCTCTCTCCCACCTCCCTTAAAGAATTCAGGGGACAGTCCAACACAGAGCCTGTTCAGTCTGTTTCTGTCCCTCTCTAAGCTTCCACAGCCCCAGCAGACAACAGCAATGAAGAGTGCAAATGCAACCACTGTTTCCTCAGCCAGGTCGTGCACACACCGAAGGACCTCAGCCAGCTCACCAGGTGGAGTCGTCTTTGGACCTTCTTAGAAAGGTCACCTTTGTTGTGAGTTCAGTTCAGTTCTATAATGAGGTTAACATCCAGTAAACAACCAATAATCATTTTTACTATTAATAATGATAATAATAATAATAATAATATGTCTTTATCTACAATTTCTATGTCCACATTCCTGTATGTTTGCTGGCGTGATATTGGAAAGCTTTCTTCCAAAGTCAACCACAGTCTGCTCTGTTTTGCTCACACCAGTCCATAAATTTGGGGATGAGTATTCCTGATCATCCCTCTTTGACAGACAGCTAAGTGCGGCAGAGTCGTCACGGTGACGACTGTTTCTGTTCTATGTGAAGAATAATAAATCTGAGTACAAATGTTGAGGTGGTGTGCTGGTGTCAGAGAGTGACATCAGAGATGAACAGCGTGGGTGGCATGATATGTTTGCCAGCATGTCTGAAGTCCAGGTGATGAGAGAAGAAGCAGGGCAGTAATCAGAATAGTTGAGAACAGATTCAGGTTAGTGGCCCGTGGTTTGTCGTCACAAACCACGGGCCAAGATGGTTTTCAGTCATCGCCTCGACCTCTGTTGGGGCAGAGATCTGGTACAGACCAGCCTCCAGTCTGGTTCTGTAGTCACTCCTCTGGATCCTTCTCTTATTCTTGGATCTACAAACCCTTCTTTTTCTCTTTGGGCTGGGCTTTCAGCTCGGAGGTCGTTCAGTAGCTGTTTTCATTACCATCTGTGAGCCGTGAGGTCGGGTTTTTTCCCCTTGAGAGTCTAAACAATCTCTAAACATTTCATTTCTCTTGGACAGGTTTGTCATGTTATATCTTTGTCAAGCGTCAAACTGTGTTACCTTTTTTGGGGGTTACTTAAGGCTGAAAAATAAACAATTCTAAAATTAGGTCAAACTTAACATTTTTAACCAAACAAAAATATTACATTTTCAACAAGTTCTGCTCTACAGCTATCTGATTTTTTTTTTTTTCAGAACATCAGTCAACAGTGTTGGGGACATAACAAAAAAAGAGAATTATTTTATTTTTTATTTGCCAGTGTTGTGTTAATTCCTCCTCCAGTCTAGTGTTATTTAAGTAGGTCAGCAATATTTGAACATCAGGGATGAAGACTTATTATAGAATTTGTTCTGTTACTATATCTGCGAGTTAATAAAACATTAGCGCTGAATAGTCTAATGTCTGGATAGAGGAGTGTAGTACCTAGTTTACTTTTTTGAACTATTTTATGAACATTGCATGTGATAATTTGTTTATTAAAACATGACTATAGGGTACTCTAGTGACACTGTTATATGAGGAGATGGCTCTTTGAGTGGTTTTCAGTGTTTTCAACAAAATGCATCATTGGTTTCAAAAAGCTACACTCACTTTCTGTTCAGTTGGCTGTGTTAATTCTATGTTGGTTTAGAATCACTACTTTTTTTAAATTATTTTTGTGCATTTTATCACCTATCTTTTTGATAGATTGCCTGATGTAATGGGTGTTTAAAGACTTAAATAGCCTCCTGAGAAGAAATAAACCTGGCTGTGAACCTTTCCTCTTTGGTGTCCTCACTGTGGTTTGGGTTGCAGGGGTCCCCAACCTTTTTGTACCAAGGACCGGTCGGCCGGTATCAGCCGTTACTGCGTAATACCACGCCATCATTAAATTTTCTTTTAGTCTTGATTCTGTCAGTATCAGAGTCTGAATGACCTGTTGTTTTGAAACATAGGGAGATTATCTTTTAATGAAAAAAGTAAAGGGATATGACTGGATTCTTTTTGAAATTAGTAAAACTGAAGTACATTTTTTCACTGTGTCCCATTTCGGCCTGGTACCAAATGACCTACGGACCGGCACTGGTCCCCAGACCAGGGGTTGGGAGCTCCTGACTTGTATAACACTGCCTTGCAGATGATTCCATAATTATTGAAGCAAAAGTATCAGTATCAGTACACTGTATATTGTGTGCGTTGCTAATCATTACCATGGTTAGCTTTACACCTGTTTCTGACACACACTTTAAAATGACTAGTTCTGTCCTTTTTTTCTGTTTTCTCTTAGGAAAAAGAGGACAAGGCAGTTTTGCAAGCTGAAGTGCAGTGCCTCAGGCAGAACAACCAGCGGCTTCAGCAGTAGTCACAGACCACAGTGGCCCGACTCATCAAAGTCACCGAACTGCTGTGCAACGTCAACAAGCCCTGTTAGCTCGGACTCAGGACGCATTCATTCATTAGAGGATCAATGCCAACGGAAAGGTGTTCCTAACAGTTCAGCCTACTTGATTTGTTCACCCACGTTCCCACTCAGACCTGTTTTCCTCTTTACTGTGGGGCATAGCATTGCCTCTGTCCTAAAAGACAGACAGACAGAGAAAAAGAGATTTGATTTGTACTATTTATTTATTTATTTAAAATTTTAGACATGGGGTCACGAAAAAAGTGCCTTTGTTAAATTAAGCTTGTAAATATCCCCCATTTACTTACAAATGGTGCAAGAGATAGCTGCTTATCATTAGCCTAGCGTAAATTAGCATTAAATCACCAGCAGTTATTGAAAGACTCATGGTCATGGATCTGATGTTTGATCAGAACAATGCACTTGTTCTTTTCCCCTTTTTGTTTCATCCACACTGTCTTTCTGCAACATAAATTGCCGTTTGGACTAACTTGACACAAAGTTACAACAGGCGGCTGCCACTTCTGTTTGTTTGTTTTGGTGTAGCCTGTTCACATAACAAAGTGTTTTATAGAAAAACTCATGAAACAGACTAAAAAGGACTTTTTAAAAACCCGAAGAGGTTATTAAACACGATTCCGCTAAAAAGAAGGAAAATAATCTCCAAAATTCACACATGCTTTTCATTTTTTAAATGATGACAACAAAATTAAAACACATGTAAGTAATGGTTCCATGTTAAATTCCCCACTGTGTCTGGGGGCTGTTTTCTAGAGGGCACTAGACTGAGTACCCAAGTTGTCAAGGCTCGCCACACCTTCCTCTGACTAAAGACAACTCCCTTTGTTGCGTTCAGTTGTAGCTAATTCTTTACAAAATCCATGTTTACCTGTTCTGTCCTTTATCAGTAAACCAGGATTCTACCTCTAGCAGACATGTTATGTAAAAACACTTTAAATGTGAAAACAGATCATTGGAAAAAAATCTTTATCATTAGATCTAAAAAAACAAAAAACAAAAAAAAAAAAACACCAAATTACCTCGGGTACTATTTTTTCCATTACATGCCTAGTGGTAGAACTGAGAAATGCCATTCATTGTCAGCATGAATGTTTTTGCTTATGTTTAATTGCTTCTATTGTTTACTAAAACCTATACAACCATTTTATTTTCAATTAAAAAAGTCCATCTGAGCCAGCAGATAAATATTTCTTCTATTAAAACCAGTTAACATCAGACCTTGGAGGTAGCAGAGGATTTTTGGAGGGGAAAGTCGTGGAGAACACATATACTAACTGAACTTCCAGTCCCGCTGTACGACATCAGGATCATTTTGCACAGTGACTGGTGTACAGTGCAATCAAAAGATATTTCTGATCAATTGTGATTAGATCATTATACAAAACCAGCCAACTAAACATCCAGACAATCCAAAAAAAAAAAAAAAAAAAAAAGCCAAGCATTCAAGCATCTTTGATGCTCTGAAAACAAACCTCCAGGAGCTTCAATGATCTGGTGATGTCTTGTGTAACATGAAGAGTAAACTTTCTTATCTAAGTCCTACAGTGGTCCTGCCACTGTAAGATTATCAAACTTCTCCATTTCTTACAAGTGTTTCATAATTTATTTATTTTTTTGTCTTTAGCTCTCTTGCACCATTGACATTCAAAACATCACTTTAAAGAAATCGCAAAAATGGTAAAAATGACAGGCACCTGTTTATCCACAATTGTCAGCTCAAACCCATTACTTTGGGTCATGTGATGTCTGGCTATAAAATAATTTAAAATATTACATCATTAACAAATTATAAAAGGTTGTTTAACTTTGACCCCATGTGTACGTGTTTGCTAAAAGAAACTTCTACTGACGTTTATATTTTATTGATTTGGTTGCTCTCTTAAAAACTGAGGAGATCACAATTTCTCTAATCAAATTATTTTTTATTGTAACATAATGAGAAAAGACAAAAATTGTGTTGTTTTTGTCTTTCAATAAAAATATTACATTTCCTAGCACATCAACATTTTGCCCAATTAAAACTGAAGTAAATGGTGTGCATGTTGGGTGTTAAAAGAAATGTCCTTTATGTGTGTTGGTGTGTGTGTGTGAGTGTGTGTTCTCTCCAGCAAAACTGTATTTGCAAAGTCTGAATGTTGTTTTGCCTGAAGCTGCTAATGTCTAAAGCATTGATAAAAAACAACAACATGTCAATAACAGGCCTGTAGGCAGTTTAGTAAACATAAAAAAAAAACTAAAACTGATATGAAAATATTGTCAGACGTATAGACTCAGCATGTGTGCTCCATTTGCACAGTCCACTAGAACAGTATTAATATCACAGTGACCTGACTGATGCCTCACAAAGTACAAACTTCAGCCAAGAAGCTGGTTTAACTCTAACCTCAATATTGTTACAGCCATATTGTTTAGATCTGCTGGCCTTAGTGACAACATGCCTATAGACAGTTTTTTTTATGTAGCTCACGAAAGAAGCATGTGTGTATTTAGCACATCAAACTTCCTGTGTAAAGAGAAAACTTTCACGTAATTTGTGTTTGGCGACTGATTTTGGTAAATTACTTTTTAAAAAACTACTGTGGTAGGAACAGTCGATGAAAACATGCCCCGCCCCTTTTTTTTCATTTTTACTGTTTTGTTTTATTGTTTATATTTCTTTTTAAATTATCACACTTCATTGCAGTGTTAATTATTGATTGATCTTGTGGTCTTGAGAAGACCTTGTCCTGTCTGTACAGACCAGTGTTTTTATTTTTTTTACCATGTTAACAGATGTTTTGTCTGCTTTCCTTTACTGCCAACAAAAAAGCTTCAGCCACGCTTTATGAATCCTGATCAAGAACAATTGTAATACAAAACTGTACACTAACAAAAATGATGCCAAAATGATGCCAGTCATTTTAAAAATGTTCAATTGCTTGTTTAATTTTTTGGCACTGTGAACACCTGGTACCAGCATATTACGACTGAAGTGAGTGTGTATTGAAGACGTGTGTACAAATGCTGTATGTACAACTGAACTATTTCAAAGTGTATGCAGGAAATCATTGGCTCTTGCTTTGTCACATGACTGAGGGGCGAGATGTTAATGTAACAAGACTCGTTTTACTGTATGTGATATATATATGTATATATATATATACATATATATGTATATATATATTGCAGGAGGTTGGTCAAGCATTAGACTGTGCCAAACAACTTCCCAGCCCTGCTCTGTATGTGTGTTTGTAAAAAGAAATGCTAATTAATGATCAAATGTGAATTTACTTGTAGCTGATTAAACTAAAGTCACAAGAAAAACAATGTTGAATGGTAGAGAAAGAAGATGAAAAGCTTGGCTTCCATTTTATTTATTTACTGTATATGAACCATGATCTACCATAGGACTCAGCACAATCCCACTGTAACTATATTAACTATACCAAAATATTGTTGTAAGTATTTGGGTCAATTTTATTTGTACAGCAGAAAATGACTAGACCCAGAGAGTGCACCGTGGGAGTTCTCCCAGCAGTTTAGGTCCAGAGCACTATAACTATTCTATAAACGGCTGAGAACTGAACAGCAGTGGAAGGGTTAATGATACGTCGAGCAGCGGCGCCAAATTTAACTGTAATTCAGCTAAGAGCAGCTACAAATAATACAGGAAGTGAAAACACTGCATCACACAAGTTAAGAGTCGATAATAAAAGAACGTCTTATTAAATCATATTAAAAACTACAACGATAAGAACACGGTCATATTTAGGCATAACCTCAACCAGGAAATCAGAAAAATCATTCCCAATGCCTTTGTTGTATTTAGGGGGGCGACAGATGACTGCACACAGCTGTTAATGTGGTAAAAGCTGCTTACCTTTATATTGACACTGATGAAAACAGTCGCCATTCCTCCTCCTCGGCCGGACATCCGCCGGGAGTTTAATCAGTAACGCAGTCATTAAGCGGTGAGAGCACCGGACTCACCAACAGCCATCCAGGTCTCGGAAATACAGAGACTATCCAGTCCTCAGGATGTGAAGTAATACTTTTAAACAAATGTCTTGTTCGCCAATGGTCTGCCATTTGCCAGGCCAACTTTAGCGGCGAACAGAAGGAGGTGGAGCCAGGTTGCGGTACAGGTGGGTCGGGATGATTACCAGGTACGGAGGCAAAGTTCCAGGCAAACCCCCAAATTTAGAATAACGGTCGAAAAGAACAACAGAAATACACACAATACAGCCTGTGACCGACGGCAGGAAACGCACAGACAGGTGTCCTATCAGATTTGTATTCCCCGTCAATTTGTACGCTGTGTACTACGCATGCGCATAAAGAAAACCCGCTGGAGTACGGCGCCATCTTGGCTGGAATTTTATACATTTTTATAACCGATTATATACAACAGAACAGGGAAATGACACATTCTCAAATTTTTCATTAAACCGTGTTTTTATTCCTAATAATAGATTTCAATACACATGTCAACAAATTTCAGAGGTTTTTTTTAATGAAAATGCTCCACAGCACACTGACATCATGTCTGATTTTACCTGAAAACAGTAATCATTTTTACAATAAGTTGTATTAGTAACAGTAGTAGCAATAGTAACAGTAGCAATTTTAATAATAATAACAACAATATCATAATAATAATGTGATAAACAAATTCAAAATAAGGTGAAACAAACATGTGTCTTATGGTGGTTGTTGGACAGCTTACTGCAACAGACTTGGATTAAACAGTACAGGCATCCACTACACAGCACACATTCTACCATCCTATAAATTAAGGAAACTTAAACTTAAATCAGACTGCTTTCAGTCCTAATATTTTACATTAAGTAAAAATCAGAGGGTTTTATCTTTATGAATTACCCTGTACTCTGGCCTTAAGAAATTGTATCTGGCATTATTCCATTTACTGTAAGAAAGAAATGGAGACATACAAAAAAAGCTTCATTTTTAGTTTTAAACATGCATGGAACCTTGTGTCCACTATTTGTTAATTTAGTTTGTGTCCTACAGCTTTTGTAACAGCACACACACCTGGAAATACAGTATATCTGGATTTGAGCATGTTTTGTCAATGGGTTGTAGATACAAATAAAGCTGTGGAAGCTTGTTTTTACCAGTAAAAAAAATAAGCAAAAGCAACAAAATAATTAAAACAAAAGTAGAATCTTTTGAGAAAAGTAAAAAAAACATGGGGAGAAGTTTAATGTTAAAGTAATATTCTAACTGCAATTACAACATTTAATTACAACTGGTATGCTTTTTAAATATTTCTCCGTGGAAATGTTCCAGTGTATAGAACCGATACACTACTCGTACTTGTTAATACAAGGACTTGTGAGCTCAGTTGAGCCGGACAGTATTATTTTAATCAAGCACATGGAATTAGTCTCCATTTAGGATGGTCATGGTCACTTTGCAAACAGAAAAAGTCGTCCCATTTCTCAGGCTTGACTGATTTAGATAAAAAAATTAAAAAATAATGTTTATTTGGACACTTTGACACAATCCTTATCCAATAGGTTCATCTAATGGCTGCGACTCAGGTTAAGGTTTTGATCCAGCTTTAGCAGCTAAGTATGTCTATTCGCTGTATTAGCAAGTGCACACTCACGGTGCACCGATTACAAATCCAACTGTGACATCAACAAATTTTAACCGTTATCTTAGATCTAAAATGTTTAACAGCTGTACTAGCTAGGTATCTCGGTTTTGTCCTATTAGAAAAATATACACATAAATCATCAGCAAAAACTAGTGAAAGTGAAAAAATTTGGCAACTGAAAAAAATGTTTTTAGGATCGTGTTCTATACAATCCTGATAAAATTGAGAAGGAAAAAAAAACTCAATGAAAAGCAATATTTAAAAACCATTATAAAGTAATGGTATTATTTTAGAATTATTTCCTTCCAGTGAAATAATTCTCTTATTTCCTTCCAGTGAGATTTGTAGTCATCTAGTACATGTTCATAGCATTTTAATGGCCGTCTAATAAGGCCTTAGTTTAGTCTGTTTTACTGCCCTGTCCATGTGTGCTTCAGCTTTTTTATTCATAAATTACCCCACACCTTTACTTGGAGAATGAACAGTAACTGTTTTGCAAAATAAATCAAACAATAAATCTTCATGATCATTGCAAATGCAAAACTAAATACTATTTTAGAAAAAGAAAAAAACATTCGTGGCATTCTTACTCAAGAATGTAAATGGTTTCTCTATCAGTGTCTACATTTCTACACATCTTCTGCACTTATTAAATATATAGAGACAAAACGGGCTAGTTTTACTTTTAGCTTCTGTCAGAACTGAGATAACATTTGCATACAAATAAAGTTGCATTCTTGTGACCACATTGCATTAATAACTAAAATAAAAAACAAAAAAATAACAATCACAATCTGTTGCTCTTTTCCTCACTCTCTCTCTTACACACACACACAAAGCTGAAGATCCCTTGAGAGAAATAATAAAATGCAGATGAAATAAAACATAAAAGATTAAATTAAATATTAATATAGAAATATTTCTTTCCAATTAAACTTAAAATCTTTATTCACAAAGCTCAAATGTAATCAATTTCCCAAAAATGACACCCTAATGACTCATTTTAAATAAGTAGCACGTACGAGGTCAAACCCTTTACTAAACCCACGACACTAAATGTATTTCTGTTTATAATGGGTTTGACCACCTGTCAAATCAATGTTCTCAACCCAGAAACAGCAGTAGATAAATTAATGACAGCAACTGAAGAAACAGCACTCAGTGTTTCTCACGTCAAAAACCAAACTTTGTAGAAATGTTCTACATGGAGAGAGTGAGAGAGAGAAAGAGAGAGAGAGAGAGCTTAAAGTTTATGAGATAAATGCTAATCAATAGCAGAAACCATTCACCTGTTTATCACTTTCGTTTTGTCTAGACTCAGCACCTCAATGACCCTGACCTTTGTTTTTTGGCGCAGCTAAATGTCAAACATGGACTGGGCGATAGAAAATGAAAAGGGAAACAAAAGAAAAATCAGGAACACTACGTTCTTTTTTCCGGACAAAGCAGACACGTTTGTGCTGAGCCACGTGTGTTGTGTGATGGGTTTTTGCCTTTTTCTTTTTGTGACAACAATTATTTTTTCTTGCCAAAGAAGCTAAACCTTTTCTCGCGATCTTTATCTTTGCCGTCTTTGTTACGCATAGTGACGCCTCCGGCCTCCACTGAGCTCGGGGACATGGGAGGCATCGTCATGGCCCGGCTGAGGCGCATACCTCCAGGTGAGTCTTCTGCCTTGGTTGGAATGGAGCTGAGGATGGACTGAATCCAGGAGCTCATTTCAGCCTGTGTAAAGACCAAGACCATTTTTAGACTTTACACAGAGGCACAACATACTAATGAACTTTACACTGTATTGCAAGAATAACCTGTACCTATGAGTAAACTAGCTTTGTGAAAGTTTTCATTATGTTTTTTTGCCATATTTCACGCTCTACGATGCCTCCTGAAGGGTTTGTAAAGGGTTAATATATATGTAAATAATATAATAACTATCGTGTCTCTACTTCGGCAGTCTTGGAACGTAACGCCCACGATAGACGAGGGACCACTCTATAATTCATTCATGAATCATACAGCTTCATCTGTCCTTATTTATTTATTCTGGGTTTTTTTAATCTCACCTCATCCTTGGCTGGGAATAGATGCTCTGACCCATCTCCGAGCCTGGGGGCAGAGGACAACAATGTTAGACCGGAGCCACAGACTGATACATGCTTACTGCAGTAAATGTGCTAACAAACAACTGGTAAACTAGATAGTAGTGTATCAGGGAAGGTTGATTTGTCTACCCACCTGAGTTTGAAGACGTTTTTCCTCTTCTTATAGTCATGGGCCACTTCACACACAGCCTCTTTGAGGCTTATTGGAACTTCCCCATGATATGGAATGCCGTTGCTTGAACTTTTGCTGTCCTTATAGAAACCAAGACTCCCTTTTCTTAGCACACAGTACACATTCTGCCAGGACCTTTAGGAGTGAAGATGAAAAAAATTTAGCTTTCAACTATGAAACCGGTGCAACATAGTGGTTGGTGGCACTCACCTGCTTGCTGCCTTTTTGCTGTGGGACTCCATCTCCTGTTTGCGACAAAGCATTCCCTCGATGGTTTCTGGCTCAGACTCTGCTCCCCCTTTGCTAGGTAATGTGGCAGATGGCTCCAGGTGAGATGATGCCAGACCGCTATCCCTGTCGGGTCCGTTTACCAACTCCGACTCAGAGCCCTGTGGATAAAACGATACGTTAATGAAGTAAGAAAAACAACACACACATACACTGAAGAGTGTAAACAAAAAAGCAGCGATGCAGCCATTTAAAGCCATAGAAGTCATATGAGTTACAAAATGCCTTAACACTGTGGTGCAGAGAAATATACTGTATCTGGAGGCTGGTGTATCTGCAGAGTCAGTGACAGTGGCCAGAGTGAGGTTCAATGTCCCCACACCAACGACAGGGTAAATCAAAGTGACTCACCTGAGATGTGTCACTATGAACTCCATTCACTGACACCGATTGGTTGAGTGTGGTCTGATCCAGGCTTGTTCTGTTTTGAAGGAGAAAAGATGCACTTATGTAGCATACTACACCACTTTGACTTATACCATGGGGGGGAGATTGCTCTGGCCACATGAAGCCTCAGTCTTTGGATTTTTTTTTAACATAAACAAGGTAATGTTGCTGAGTGCCTTCCTACATTTGTGATTTAATTTTTAATTTCTTGTCATCTGCTTCACATTTGTACTGATTTGGGCTAATGGAAAATTGAATCTTTTGCACCTTTAAATGGAATTTGCTCCAGAATGAGTGCAAACTATTAGAGGTTAAGGTTTTTAATGTTAATGTTCATTAGAGAAAATGACTGAACAATTCATTTTTATACAGTTCTGTGCGTCATCCTGTGAGGGTGTCCTGCATATTACAGCTTTCATATCCACCAGTATCACTGTGCTCCACGCAGCCTAATATTACCTGGCTGCAGAATCATGCGGATGACTCTCTGTTAGAGACTGTGGAACATCATCAGCCACTGGTGCCATAGTGGCTAGCTTTGCCCACTCCTCCTCCTCTTTCCTCCTCTGGAGCTCCTGCTCCTCCAGCTGGAAATAGACACGTGAAATTTAAGCCAACTATCTGCGATGTACACTTAGAGGTTTCACCTACAAAATGAACTGTAAGTAGGGGAAAATAACACTCAGCTTACCGTAGTTAGCCTCTCCAGCATGACAAAGCGTTCTTCCCAGGATGCAGCAAGTTTTTCGAAGGCTTCGTGGCGCTTAATGAGACTCTCTACCTCGTCTACATTTGACCCCAGTTCTGCTGCTCGTATCAGAGGTTCCTGCCCTGCCAACCAGGACTCTGCCACATGAGCATCTCGCCCAAACTGCAGCACTTCCAGCACTGATGGGCAGTAAGAAAAAACAGACAGAGAAAACAGTTGACATGTTGTCAATTAATACAAACAGTGACAAAAGCAAGAGATTTACTGTAATTTAGACTGACTTTTAGTACCAGTACATATCAACGAATAGTCAGGACTGAGTTTATATTCACCATGGGATTAAAATTGTTCTTGAATCAGTTTTCTAAAACAGGTCAAAGGTTCTGACGTGTTACCTTTTTTATTAGCTGTGAAAGTGGTCCTGAAATTTAGTACATTTTTACACACAAAAAAAACAGCATAGAGCTGTAAAAACAGAGTGAAATCTAAAGATTGTGATGTCAATCTATGTTGTAAATTTTGAGTAAAAACAAATTGAATTTTTTAAATAAGAGCAGCAAGCAGTTGCCATTCTAAGCACTTGTTGAGAACCTTGTTTTATTACATAAGACAGTTTCAACAGAGCCAAAATCAATAAACAAGAGCGAGATCATAGCTGCAGCCTACATTCAAAATTCACCCTTCAATGTGAATAGATAAGTCACTCTTTCTGTGACTGGAATTTTTAAGCATACAAACCAATTTGTAAATGGTCCATCTTGTCCTGCCAATTTTTGTTGATCTTGTCCCGTTTCTCCTGCAGCTGAACTAATTTTTCCTGGATCTAAGATTAAAAAAAAGAACATAAAGAATAATTAAACAAGCATAAAAAAGAAGAACAAATAGATTACAAAATGAAAAAATATTCAGATAGAAGCAGGAAACCAAATCCATTAACCAGTTTGGAAGCAGAAAACTACCAGTATTGTTTTTTCTTCATAATGATTATTATGTCTTGTTTATGTTAGGTGCAACACTTCTTTTTTTGAAAGGTGTTAAACCTAACATAAACAAGAAAAACTGAAAATGACACATTGCAAAATACCTCGGCCGCTGCATGATGATTGTTGTTGATCAGAGTGTTTCCTAACTCAAAGCAGGCAGTGAAACTATCTGCCCGGGTCTCAATCTCTGACTTAATGTCTTGATGATTGGCAATGACGAGTCCTGCAGACGAGACGTCCCTGTAAGACAGACCTCAGGTCAGTGACTCCTACAGCTTATAAACAAACTAAAACAGCATTTAATAGCATGCCATTATATTCACCTGGGACTGTCGTGTGCTTCGATTTGCAAGTTGACACCGTCCATCCACAACATGAGGTCTCGCACCATGTTAAAGAAGCGAAACTTCTCCACCGTATCAAGAAGGAGAAGCCTGCGGGCTTGACCAGCCTGGAGCAGAGCCTCCCAGGCAGAGGTCACAGCATGTTCACTCCTATTAATGTCATCTGCTTTCTCACCAGCATAAGCCTTCTGCAGTCGTGCTGCATCATCCTGGATCTGGTTCACCTGTGACGACGAGTTGAATCAAGAATCATCAGAGACTCGGCTTCATTTCTAAGACTAGTCGTAAAAAGGACCTTTTTAACATGGAGCTGACCTGTCCACTCAGTGCCTGGATGTCATGTTCAAAGGTGTTATGTTGCCTGTGTAGGTGCTGCACCGTGCTCAGATCACGGCCGAGGTCGGAGGGCAGTTCGGCCTGCTTTTGCTGGACACGTTCAAGCACCTCCATAGCGTCTTGATGGAAACGGTGGAGCTCGTAGGAGGCGGCCAACATCTGAGTGCGTGTGTCAATCAGCTCCAACAGATCAGCCCACGCTTCATTCAGACCATCTTTCCACTCGGCAACATTGGCATTCTCAGGATGACCCGACTCGATGAGGTCGTCCGCCAGGGCATTCACACCATCCACACGCTCTTGGCCAATGTTGCTTGTGTCGCGTGCAAACTCTCGGAACTTGTCTCGAAGCACCTTTAGTGGAAAGATGTAAACATAGATCATCATTAACTGATTCAACTGAGCAGTCATTTCAGGACAGCATACTTTATTAACCTGGCAGTTACAGTGGTCATAAGCAGTACTGCTAGAGCCACGGTGATGTTGCTTAAAAAAAAAAAAGAAAGTAGTAGTATAAAATGCAAAACATTTGAGTACACTATTAAATAGAGTTGTAAAAAAAAAAAACCAACAACTTACTGTCACATGATCATAATCCTGTCCAAGTTCATGGGAGCCAGCGACCACTTCCCTCTCAGCTATCCACTGCTCCAGGTCGTCCACCTCACGTTTAAGCTGGGTCAAGCGCAGCCTCTCCTGCAGCCGCCCGTTACGCTCCTCGGCCAGGTCTTTCAGGCAGGCGTACAGCTTGTCCACTTGGGCTTGACGCAGGGTGATTCTCTCACTGTTTCACAAAAAAGAAACAAGACTTGGAATTTGTTGAGCAATAATGCACAGTTTTGTCAAGAAGAACTACCGTTTACCTCTCTGGGTGTTCACCGGTGACCATGAGACGGCTGCTGTTGGCCAGCTGATGGATGGTTTGGGCGTAGTCTTCAAGAGCCTGTTCTAGGATCTGGTGCTTCTTGACCATTACTAGTGCACTCTGCTCATCCTAGGATTGAATAAAATCATCAGTGCTACATGACAAATTCATTGGATCAGACAGTAACTTGTGATGAGACAAAGTTTAATTGTTAATACATCTTTTCTCCACACTGTGGGACAAACAAAGGACATTTTATCTCACCTGATTTGATCTTAAATTTTTACTAACAGACAAACTTTATTAAAACAGTTCTGGGCACAGCTCATTCCTATTATCAGGGTTCGTTTTACCTTGGCTTTTTCTTCTGACATCATGTGCAGCTCCTGTTCACCCATCCAGGCCTCTGCCTCTGCTGCATCAGCATAGAACTGCTGGGCACGATTGGCCTCAATGAGGCGGACATGGCGCTTGTCTGTCTCAGCGGTCAGCTGGTCCCAAAGGTTCTTCAGCTCAACCAAACGCTCCTCTGGATGTCTCTCACCCACCAACTCTCTTTGGGTCTGTCCTCTTCTGTGTATATCATCAATACGAGGATGGTGGCCCTGGATCTCCTTCTGCAAAGTCTGAATCAGAGACAACAGGGGTGTTTTTTAACAGTTCAGTTTCCTTTGCGCCTGCAGCAGTGCAGGGCCCGGCCATGGACATGTCATTGCCTGCTCGCTGTCATTGGTCTCTGTGCTTAGATTTTTGTTTAGTTGTGGTGTTCATGTGCATTTAAAGAAACATTTTTAAAGCATCTTTTTTGCAGCACATACATAGCTTCATTTCCTGTTGCCAGTTAGAAACAAACGGTCTGAAGCTCCACAAGTTTAAAAACAAGCAAGTTGGCACTTGCTTGTTTTTAATACAGCAGCAGGTTTAGCCTCAAATGTTTCATCACATACCAAACTTAAATAGGATTTTTGGATCACAGGCTGAAATATAACAGATATTGTGCTTTGTTACCTGGTTCTTCTTTATCAACAGCTGAACTGTGGGAAGATCTTTTCCATGGTCGGTGGAGGTTGCCAAGGGCATTCTCTCATTCACCCATAACTTGGACAAGGACACAGAAAACAAAATATATTATAAGGACAATACACACAGACCATACAGTCCAAATTAGGTAGTACTACAAGTATTCAAACTCACAATTTCATCCTCCAGATCTCTGTTGAACTGATGTGCTTCTTTAGAGGCCAGTAGCTGTTGCTGCCTCAGTTTGAGAGGCTCCTGAAGTTTTGAAAAGTTGTCAGTGACACGCCTCTGTTCACCATCTACCTCAGCCAGTCCAGCGTCCTCCTGAGACAGCGCCACAGCCTGAGACTGCAGGGAGTGCACCTCTTTCTCTCGTATCTCCATCTGATGCTCCAGCATCTGCACAGAGACAGAATATGTAGAATATGTTCACAAAATAAGACATTCAAACTAAACAGAACGGTTTCCACTGTAAAAACTGCAGAATTGTTTCAGTGAAATTCAGTGAAATGACATTAAATCATGTCTTGACTGTGATTTACAATTCTTGGTTTGCTCAGTGTGGTGGTTTGCTACCTGATGCTTCTTTAGCAAGATGTTGACACTGGTCAGATCTTTGCCATAGTCATCACTCTGCAACTGAGTCTCAAGGTTCTTCAGCCAGACATCTAGAGAGGAACAGCTCTGTGTGAAGAGTTCTGCCCTGTTAGCGTCGAACAGACACTGGGCCTTGGTGTGCGTGGTATTTTCTAGCTCTTCCCACTGATGCTGTAAGTCTTCCAGGGTCTGTTGGACAACAGGCTTCAGCTCAGACTTCTCTGCCACCAGAGCCTGACCCTCCTGTTGAAGATGTAAAACAAGTTGAAGAGTTTTTTTCCTATCCTGCTCAAAATCAGTCCGCTCTGTGTGGACTTGCTTTGTCAATTTTGTCCAGCCAGTCTTTGTTCGAGGCCAGCTCAGCCATGAAGGCCTGGTGTTTCTGCCACTTGCTGTGAAGATTTCTGGCTTCATCGTAGGACATGTCTTGCGCTGTCAGCATTTTCTCATTAATCCAGAGTTTGAGCTTGAGAACAGAGCAGAGAATTACTGAGTGAACACTTTCACCTTTGAAACATTTAGACTCAAATCATCTTTATGAACTCTTTTACCTCTTGTCCATCTTGGAGGAAGTGCTGAAGTTCACGGTTATCCTTCAGTTTTGTCAACAACTCATTGGCAGATTCTCTGTTCTTCAATTGCCTAAACAAAAAAGTAAGTCATAGGTCAAACATTTATGTACATACATGCACACATGGCTGCAGATTAAACTAGACATGATACCGAGCACTGTTCTCAGATGCATAATGCTGGTCTTTTTTAAAGCTTCCCATTTTCATCAAGTTAAATCTCTAATACTTTTACTGGTTATTAACCTTTCTTCTATGCAGTCCACTTTTTCTTGGATCTTGTCGGAATTAGCATTAGACTCATTGATGAGGCGTCGTCCAGTCTCCAGTACACCAGTGATCTTCTCCTCACTGGCCTCTATGGTCGTAAGGAAATCCTCATGCTTTTTAATGGCCTCTTCTGCTCCCTGAAGACTGGACGGCATCTCTGTGTGAGAAAGGACATACTCCTGCACACAAAAAACAGCAAAGTTAAAAAAAGAAAGACAAAATTAAACTTCTTTAAAATGTTTTACAAGTTTGCCTAGAATGAATAATGTTATTTCTGGCTTACAAATCACTGCACAGTCAGCTCCAGTTGGTAACAGCTGCCTGTTTTGGGCTTAGTTAAAAATTAGATAACCTGATGCTCCTATTTATAATTCCTTTTAACCAAAAAATGTGGAATACAGTTCTTGGTCAGTTAAACAGGAACAAAGGAATGTTTCACTTTTACCTGAGAGATTTACTTTAAACAACTCTGATATGGAAACGTGCACTAGTCCACTTATGTCTCCCAGGTACAATTTCCATGTCCTTAATCATCATGAGCTTCTCACATATACTGTATGGCTCAGCCTTGGGTTTTATCAGATGGTCATGTTTTTATATTTGTACAAAGTCTAGCTGACATTGTTCTATCACCAGGCTCATGACGTTAAAGCCTCACACAGGAGTCTGTGCCGTTCATGTTTGAGCCTTTATCAGATTATATGATATCAAACTGTATTGTCACAATACCTGGTAGAAAGTAACAGAAAGTATTGTCACAATACCTGGTAGAAAGTATGTGATATTATATTATATTTTAGATTGTGTGTTAAAAAATGTCCTCTGGAGTTGTGCATGCACTCCCACAATCCATGCACTCTGAGCTACTTCCTGTGCAGCAGACTTATTCATGTCTAAAGTGTGATACATTAATGTGTGAACACAGACAAACCACACACACAATCAAATGCCAAATAGCTCAACTTGCTCTGACCTGGCTGTTCAGGAAAGCCTCTGCCTGTTTGGCATCTCTTAAGAAAGTCTGGAAGTCAAAGGCTTGTGCCAAAAGACTATGGCGGTTTTCCCACATGCGATGCAACTCATGCCAACCTATGTCCAGTGCTTGAAGCCTCTGGGCCAAGAACATGTGTTGGGCATCTGTGTGACCTTGGGTCACCTCCTCACCAACAGCTCGCATTTTCTCATAATCTTCCTTGTAGTTATCCACATCATTCTTGATATTCTCGTGCTGTGCAATCAAGCTTTCAGCTTCAGGGAGGGAAATGGGAATGTCCTCTGAGGCCACGGCCGTCTGTGTACGGGACAGCCAGCTCTGAAAGTCATCCAGATCTCTAAGAAAACCTTGAAGTTTGCTGGCTTCTCCTAACGACTCCTCACGGCGCTTCATTGTGACGTTCAACTCCTCCCACACTTCTTGAATCTCCGTCAGCCGGCCTTGGATCTCTGCTGCCTGATCAGGATGTTCTTTCGCCAACTTTTCTGCCTCATTTTTCAGGTCATCCAGTTTGCCCTGGAAATGATTAAAAAAAAAAGTTTGTTTGCCTTTAAGTGTAACTTTCTTTTTTTATCATTCAGTTATTTATCAATTGGTTGCTCAGTGTAACTTGTCACCTGTATGGCCTCCAAGTCCCTTTCCATGCCTGTAAGTTTGCGCTGCAGTGCCATCACTCCAGCCAGGTCGTTACCCAGACTCTGGGTGGATTCGATCACCTTTGTCTTTTCCCTCATCCAAGTTTGTATCTCGTTACATTCCAGATGGTAGTTCTGGATGTTAAGAGCGGACTCCAGGGCCTGCTTTTTCTGACCAGCCAGTTTTTCAAACTCAGCCCATCTACAGACATTCAAATTGTAATCTTAACAACAGTATGATCTCCTAGCAACAGCTTACAGGGAGTAAAAACACAATTGGTTGAATGGTCGATCTGACCTGTTGTTCAGTTGGTCTCGTGTCTGGTGGATTTGGTCCTTGCTACAGTTGTCAGAGCTCAGCAGCTGCTCTGCCACCTGGTTTACATCAGCGATCTGAGCACTTATGTTGTTCATCTCAGGTTCAAGAGTCTCGAACCTGCAGAGGCAAATGAATTCATTCTAAGAAAATTTGCTATTTGGTTCAACATGAGGTTGAGTCACTATTATTCAGTCAATTTAGTTGTAATGTCACAAGGTAAACACACAGTAGGATCCACGAGAGGAGGATTAGATTTTAAAAATGTCTGCTCTAAAGGTTTTCTTTAGTTTCATGCTTTTGTGGCCAATTTTAAAAAGTAATAAAATATTGATAGTATTTTCCTCCAACAGCCAGTAAATGCTTACTTTTATGAGTAACTTTAAAGTTCAGCATTTACATGAAGCTACATTTTGAGTGAAACAGATTTTCACAAACTTACTACAATTTATTCTAAATATTTTTTACTCCAAACACTGACCTCTGCTGTACAACTTCCAAGTCCTCCAGTTTATTCAGGATCTCCATGCCATGTAACCACTGCTCCTTCTCTTCAATCCAGAGCTGGCAGGCATCAGCAGCACTGAACATGCGGTACTGGGCCAAGGCACCTTCCAGAGCCAGTCTACGAGCGGCCGATAGGGCTTCCAGCTCCTTGTACTGATTCTCGATGGTGGGTAAGTGACATTCCTCCTATATTCCACAGTGAACGATACGTTTGGATATAAAATAGTTTGTCAGATCAAACAAAATGAATTGGTTTAAGGCAATAACATGCTACAAACCAATACTACGCAGAATAAAAGACAGAAAAAAAAAGTACTAATACTACGCAGAATAAAAGACAGAAAACAAATCATTACCTTACACGTATATATAAAATAAAAACCCACCTGAGGGAAAAGCGACTCGTCCCATGTTAGTGCTTGGCCCTGCTCATGTAAGGAGTCCAAAAGAGGGCGGTGACTTTGAATCTCCTCCTGTATCTCCCGCTGTTTGCGAGCTAGGGTTTGAGTGGCAAACTCATCATAACCCACTTCTTGACTTGACACCCGTCTAAGTGTCTCAGCGATCCAGGTTTTCATGTCATTGGCATCTGTATGGAACTGATAGAGGGCTACTGCTTCCTTTAGTCTCTGCTCTCTGTCTTTGGTTGTCTTCAGCACAAAATGAACATAAACAAATTAATGAGAACTAAAAATGTTTTGAATGATGAAGTGTTTGTAAAAAGAAAAAGGCATTACTACTCACCTCCTCAAGATGTGCCCACTGTGTGTTGATATCTTGAATTCTATCTGTGACCTGTTGGGCTCCAAAGTGACCCTCTTTGACCAGAGCATCCCCGGCAGCAATACTGTTACTCAGTGGGCCATAGCGAGCTGCCATCTCATCACTGAAGGCTTCATGTTTACTGAGCAGATGAAGAGCAGAGGTGAGGTCACGTCCACAATCACCACTTGCCAGGATCTGCTCCTGGTCTCTGATCCAGGCAGCCTCCTCGCCAAGATCCCACAGAAACTGCCAAAGGCGACGAGAGTCTTCAAGCTGCTCTTTGCGTTTTCTGGAAAGTTCACCAAGCTCCTCGTAGGATTTACGGAGAAGATCAACCTTTTCACTAACTAAGCCTGGCTCACACGGTTTGTATGCTGTCAGATAGGAGAGCAGAAATACACAATGTTTGAATGTTGCACAAACATTGATCTGGAGAAGGAATGCTGTCTGTGAAAGCATGTTCATGAACTCACCCTGGTCCTGGGAAGTGAAACGCTCTGCTCCGCCCTGTACTGCTTTGATACGCTCTGCCTGAGCTGAAATATCTGCCTCTACCAGGGTGTGGGTCTGAAGTAGGTCCAACACGTCATGCAAATGTTTGCCACAATCTTGAGAAAGCAATCGACCCTAAAACAAATAAAAAATACACGTTGTTGTTTGTTATCGTCATTATCAATGTACAGAATAGGGTTTTAACAAAAACAGTACCAGTTCCCACCAGATGATGGACTCCTCTGTGAGTTGCTAAGGACATATGTAAAGTGGATTGTTAATATTTGTAAAGTTGGTTTTTTACCTTCATGTCGGCCATCCAGTCCATGATGTAGCGCATCTCCTGAAACACTCTCTGCTGGTCGAGATGGGAATTTAGCCTCTCTCTACGTGCAACCAGAAGCTCCTTCAAGTATTCCCAGAGCCTAAGGACATTATCCCTACGTGCAATTATACGTCGCACATCGTGGTAGCGCTCAGCTTCCAGTTCTTTGGCAACAGCCTCTACAGTAGCAACACGCTCCCAGTATGCTCTGATGTCTGTCTCAATTGCCTCATGTTTACGTGTGGCAGCTTCCACCGCGCCTAAATCGGTCCCAAAGTTGTCCTGGATACAAAATAAAATCAGTTTGAAACACTCCATATATATACATCATATATGACAGAATAATATATTTTTTACTATATCTACCTGTGAAACAAGCCTCTGGTTTTCACTTAACCACGTTTCCCTCATGGCGGCTTTGCGGTCAAAGCGGGCAGCGAGCATCTCCAGTTTCTCCTGTCTAATCAACTCATTTCTGAGCGCCAGCTCACGTTCATGCTCAGCTTTTTCTAGCCGCTCCCAAGCCTGTTCAAAATGTCAACACAACAAGAAGTTAACAATTAAAGGCAACAATAATCTTATATTTGTATGCACATATTTAACATGTCAAATTATGTTGTTATATAAACATAAACATATATAAGAACCAGACCTTGTTGATGTCAGATATAAGTTTGCCCTCTCTGGGCATGTAGACTTTTTGGTTGTTGGCCCGCATTTTGCTCTGGATTGTAAAGAGCAGCACCTCCAGATTTCCTTTCTCTGTGAATCTGGAGAAAAAGAAACAGAAACTATGTCAATTTCTACTAGAACATTAAATTTAATTCACAATGAACACATTTCTGGGTATAATGATTATGAGCTCCTCTGTTTTTTTAAAAAACAAAAAACATACATACTGTACATTATAATGCAGCCTAAGTATTTTACAAGTCACAGATTGAACAATTTGGTTTGTGTCGATGGTGAGAAAAAGTACAATGTACGTTCAAAATAAAAAAAAAAACAAAGCCACTTCCTGTCCACACCAGTAACCACATTCCTGGTGTCGGTGCTGATTACTTCATATTACAGAAAGGGGAAATGCATATTTGTATACAAAAGGTTATTTTGTATTGAAAACCGAGAGTCAGCACCAGACTGTGAGTCACGTTACTCACTTGGGGGGTTTCTCCACTGTTCGGTAAGAGTTAAAAGCCTGCAGTTGGTTCTGGACACCACTCAGAGAGTTTGCCAGCTGTCTGTCGTTGAGTGTCCCTATGGTTTGCTCAATCCACTGCAGCAGTTCTGAGGCCAAAGTTTCGTACTTTTCTATCAGCTGGTCAGCCTCGATGGCATAGTCCAGCACCTGCAGTGAGGAAACCTCTGTCATTTAATATTGACATATTATTCTGATATTGACATATTATTCTTACAAACACACCTATAGGGGTAGTGTAAACACAGGACAGTAATAGTGGAATCTTACCTTTCCTATTCTTTTTCCCTCAACTGCAAGGGCTTTCATCTTGGAGAAGTAATGATAATAAGTTGCGACATAAGTTATAATGGACTTTTCATCTGGGTGATCAACATTTACATCTGAAAAAAGGGGAAACAATTCATTAATTATTTCAATATGCACGGAATAGTAAACGATTCATTGGCTGTGAACACATGAGTCGGCTGTAGCAGTTGTTTGAGCTGTAACTAAATACAACATTTCGTGTCCTGGTTTATTATTTTCTTACCTTCTGGGTCCAGCAGCTTCGTAACCCCCATTTCTTTCTCAGCCACATTAAAAGCATTCTGAAGATTATAGTGAGCGTTGGACCTCTTCAGGTTGTCAAAGTTAATCAGGTCTGGTCTGTGTTAGTAAAGAGAATGTCTTCATTTATATTCATCACAACGACATTAACAGTACTATCATGTGTCAACATTAATGAAAAAAAAGGCTGAAACACAGTTATTAAACAGCATCAAGAGTTTGAAACGTAGGGACAAACAGTCGCACGGCCGAATGAGAACACAATTCTCAAAGAATATTTTCACCATAAGAGAAAAAAAGACAACTCCCTTCAAACTGAGCTACACTCAGTCAGTACTTTATACTGTAAATAGCTCCTAGTTTATCAGAGTATGTGTAATATGAAGTAATCAATGTCAACAAAGCAATTGAATAAACAAATAAATATATTATAAAAGACACCATGTGTATGTCACAGTAATGTCTTTCAGCTAACTGGCTCTTTCAACTGTTGAGCATGATGTGCAAGTGTGTCAACATTATAGCTCTTCACACACCAGTGAAGTTATTTTTAGTGTGATCTAGGTTATCTTACACCTGATTTTTTTTCCATCTTTTGGCCACACAAGAGGCTGGAGAATGAGAGACCTAGATAGAAAATGGGATTAATGAAGCCCCTGAGGACCAGGTTTTTCTGTGACAGACTTCACTCATTAGACTGAGGTTCATGTAGAAATGTAGATTTTGTATAAATTAAATTAAATGTAAATAAAATCCATAAATGCTCATTTAACGCAGTACTTATAGCAAACAGGTATCTGTGGGAAGATAAGAGCAGGAAACAGTCAATGACCTGTGTTTGTGCACAATGGCATTGAACGCCAGACCATCTCGCCAGCTGGTGGTGAAGTTGTGGATGTTGACATTGGGATATCTGCAGAGGCCCAATGACAAATCATTAATCACTGAGTCAACACAGCAAGTTCACAGGGAACAACGTCAGATAAAGTGTTTTACTTTGGTTTGGTAGTTTTTTTTTCATGATTGTTTAGTGTGTTTCTCACCCAGCAGTTTTCATTTGGCACCAAAGCAGCAGTGCATCTTTAGCCGACTTCTTCTCTTTGTTGTCTTCTGTCTCTACACTGATGTCCTGAATCTGTAAGGCAAGCACCCTTTAGTCTATGTCTTAATAATCCACACAGTTCTTGGCTAATGCTAAATATTCGCAGTAGCTGTACCTGGAATCGGAGAATGATGGTCCAGATAAGACCCAAAGTTAGGCGGTGATTCCCATCAACAATGTCATGGGAGCCCATGTTTTCTAGGTGGACTTTCTGCTCCTTGAGAAATTGCAACGCTTTATCAACATTCTCCAGGCAGTGGATACGCATGCGTCCTTTAGTAGGCTTGGGCTGCAAAGCGTAAAAAAGGAAACAAAAAACAAGAGATTTATTTTTATTATATCTAGAGCTGAGAGATTATGAGAGAAAGTGAAGTGAAGTAAGGATTGAAGTGAAGTGAGGTTTGAGGGATTCTAACCAGATGTTCCCCCGAGAGCACCTCCAGCAGGCGGATTAGCATGCGGCCATCGCGGAGGTCGGTGTACAAGTCACCGATACGACAGGTCACACGGCCTAAATGAGAATTCACCCATTTGGTAAAGGTCTTCTTCTGTACTGCTTCACGCTCATCTGGAGAAAGGGTTGAAATGGTTGAAAAATGTTAGGTTGAACAACTGACAAGCTACTCAGCCCCAGTCATCCTTCACACAGAGTCACAATAAGTCAACATGCAAAAACATGTATATGATTTTTTAAGTCAACTAAAACTACCACAAAGACTAAATTAATTACAGGGGATAAACATTTATTTTCAGATGTTACTATATTTCCACTGATATTTATTTTTAAAAAGACTCCAATAATATATAATCTCCAGTAACAGTAAAAGGACACTGTGACCAAGCCTAACTTAAAGCAGATAATAACCCACACTTGCTCAGAGAACAATCTATTCATATCCAGGGTTTTTATTTACCCCACTGACACACCGCACATTCACACCCATGCTGATGATGATACATTTAAAAAAAAAGTATGAACTTCTATAATTGATATTTGTTTTGTACTAGAAGGGCCTAAAAAAGAAACAATGAACTAAGCCGAATCAACAGCTCAGACATATGGCCACGTGGAGTAAGAAGGTAATCCTTCTCCGCCATCTAAGGAGGTGACCTCATTTCTAGGACACTGTACCTTATACACAGCACCAAGAGTAAGACCAAGCAAAATAACAATCAGACAGACAGACATGAAATATCAATCTGCACCAAACATACAGTATCTACAACAGCAACATGCATCAAATTCAATTGTGATCTTCAATATTGTTAAATGCATTTTTGAACTAAATTAACCTGACTTTAGGGCTGTCAACATTTTGAAAGAAATTATTTGAGATTTTTTTAAATAATAAGCATGATTAATCCAGATATATCATCTATATGACAGAGATTAACTGTTGTCCTTTTTGGAACAGTTGTTCTAAATGTCTTAAACAAGTTGTAAATACATAACAGCAAAATATAAACTGAAAAGACAGCATTAGATATAGTGCTATTACCTTAAGTAGGTAGGTATAGGTTAATTCCGATACTGTCGAACACGTGTTACGACAGAATCATGTGGCATGTGAAATCATGTGAAATCTCTAGACATTCCTCTTCCTACAGTTATGTTACAACATTTCTTTCTGCACAAAGGTGGATACCATAGATCTGTAAACCTTATTAGGTTTTAGTTTATAAATGCAAATAGTGTGTGTAAGAGTTCAAGTTCAAATTTAATTTAGTTAAACCCTTTGAAAGGACCTGCTCTTCTAGTAGGTGTCATGAGTCAACATAGAAGTAAAGATTACACTGCAAAGATGTGAAACCTCCACGAGGACTCGGTGTCACATTATCCAACGGTACAAACTGCAATGCTAGTTTAATTTGAATTTTGATCATCACCAAAATCTAGTAAAAATGTTCCCTCAAATGAAGCCTGAAGTAAAAGTTATCTTGTGATAAAACAGCACAGTGACAACCAGAGGACAAGTGTAAGGTGAGGTAATCAAAAACCACATACATTGTGAAACAAACCACAATCAACGGTCAATTCAAAAACACATGTGACAAACCTATCAGCACCTTAGAGGCTGGAGCAGCACTACTGGATCATCACTGGATGTTTTAACTGTTGAGGAATGCTTGGTAACAGATGACTCATTTCTGAGGCTCTCCTGACAAATAGGTAAAAATGTATTTAATAGCTGAACCTCCAAAATCAGAATATAAACCATATGAAATGTATCTTTCCCATATGTTAATAAATACGTGATAAAGCTGTGCCAAGATATACAGTACTGTAGTGTGTTTCTCTTCTACTTTATCTAAACATAGGAAGATCAAACATAAGAACAGGTTTTGTCCTATTGTACACCTTTACTCACATGACTGAAGGATGTTGACCTTTTTAACAAAACCAGATGGCTCTCATACTAGTGGTTTAGTGTTGTTGCTTTATGTCCAACCGTTTTTACTGTCTTGTTGCAACAAACCAGAACACACAAAACCAAACTCATCTCATATTCTACTTTTAAAAGGTCCAACCCTAACCCCAGAATTTGTTGTTTGAATGTTTTAACTGTTGAGGAATGCTTGGTGAGGTGAGCTACGAAAAGACTGCATATTGTGAAATACTGCGTACAAATAGTCAATTTAAAAGGTACATGTTGTGAAACTATGAGGAAGCCTTTTGTACTTCATTTGTAACTGAGCTAAGAGGCTAAAAATAAAGAAATCCCTAGTGCATCAGAATAAAGGTAACGTCAGTTGGTGATGTTGGGACTGCTCAGTTTCTTGAGCCTAAATATGGGGCTGCATTTTTAAAGAAGTGTTGCTACTGTGGAGAGACTGTACGTCTAATGACAGGGAACTGGAACAAGGCAAGACATGTACACAACACCAAAGTCCTGCATGTTGAGTTGTCTAAAAAATATTCCAACATGACCATGCCAAACATTTTTACTTCTGATGATGTGACCTTTAAGGTCAACATTGTGTTCATCCTAATCTTTTCCTTAGCACTAATATTTAACAGTAACAGTAAGAGGGCCGGAATATGACAGAAGATAAAGATGCAACATTTTACACCCATGTTTTACTACAGTAGTAAACATGCCAGTATTTCATATTCAAATGAAGGCCCCTCCATGAACCACTATCAAGGTGCAAATATTTTCACCAAAGAGGCTCCACCTCATTAATTTTCTCATCTTACTGATGGTGAGGATCCATTTTTGAGATAATACACAATACCAGACAATACTGAGGAATGGGTGTGTACGGATGTATTACACAAAAGGAACCTCTGTTGTTCTAGCCTTCGGAGGACAACAGAGTGAGGAGTTGGTGTGTATGTGTATGTGTGTGTGTGTGTCTGTGCAGATGTGATACTATAGAACCTACAGCTTTTGTTCATCCAGTTTATTTAGCTCAGCCAACTTCTCTGTGTGGCTCCTTCTGTAAGGATTAGACCTGACTTGTTGAGGCTTGCATTGAGGAGTTTGCCGTCCAGAACTGAGATATAGGCGCCTGCTGAATTTGTTGAGTCGTTCTTTATATGCAAGCTGAGGCCCCAGTCAGTCCCACAGTTCCAAGCGTGAAAGTTTTACAGCACAAACTGCATTGAGCTTCCCACTCATTGTCAGGCACAGGCCAATCATATTTGTGGTAATGTAGCCATAATGAAGTGAGCCAGAGAGGCTGATGTGGTGGAGGAAGGTGGGGGTTGGTGATTAATCTGGTCGCCAAGTTATGAACCAGTAGAAACTTTAGAGTAATTCATCAGCAAGACCAAAAAATGGAGCGTGACAAGGCTATGTACCAGAGGAAATATTTCTGTAGTAAACAAAAATCAGTCTTCGAACTGATTAGTCAATATCTAAATAAAAAAAAAGATAAAGTAAAATACATGTAGATTTTGTGTTGTGGCGTGTTTACAGAGTGTAATAAACAAGATGTTTACATGTTATTACTCCTATTTCCTTTCAAAATCTAAAACCTGTTTATTATTAAAATATTTGAAATTATTTTTGTTAATCTAAGGAGTCATTGGGATCTGAAAGAGGACTCATACTAAAGTCACTGAACCGCGCCCTAGCGTGAATGCCCCCTTAGGCGAAGTTTCTAGGGCTAGTGTGAGTGCAAACTTCAGCACATGGGCAGCTAGGTGCAGCTCCTGCTGCCTCCGCAAAAATCTGTGCGGATAGCAGCCGCTGCGGCCACGTGTGTACGTGTGTACGTGTGTGTGCTCCACTCGGAACACACACCGTTTCACATGCACATCACAGCCAGATGCTGCTGCAGATATACTGCTGCGTGCTCATGTGTCTGAGCGACAGCAGCGTACAGTAATGATTAGCTGGTGTTGATCAGAGAGCTGACTATTTTAAAGATCCACTGGCCCTAGTGTGAGTACGCCCTTTGGCAGCTCCTACTGCCACAGTGCAAAGATAAAGCTACGAGGTACAGAGGCAGTGAAGGTGGGATGATTTCAAATACTCAGGGTCGACCATCAACAGTGAAGAAGAGGTGAAGAGTAGGACGCAGGTCGGGTACAGTGGATACAGGAAAGTGTCAGAATTGGGACAGAAGTTAAAAGGGAAGATTCATGAGACTAGAGAGACCGGACTGACGTATAGTTTAGCGACAGTGGCTCTGTCTAGACTGTAGGCTGTATTGGAGGTGGTACAAGTGAAGTGAGACTCAAACTGGGTGGGTCTACAAACGACAGGATTGTAAATTAGCAAATTCTAAGAACAATTTAGATTGATACGACAGTGGTGAGACCAATGCACTCATTAGCCAGACGGGACTGTCATTCTCTATGAAAGTATGTACATACTGTATGTACATACCATAATACAAACAATACATGTTTTACAATTTTTTTTGGCAGAGTTAAAAAGTCAAAAATCAAACTGAACCTTTGACACCAAACAAAGTCCCATTTTTATATGCAATCCAGCAGCATCCAGCATGATCTAACAAGGGCACAGTGTGTAACAGTGAAACTGCGGCGCGCAAGCAACCAAACTGGAAATACGAGTAGTTGTTGCCAAAATGTGTTCATGTGAGTGAGGTGAGCTAATGCGTCTGTGAGACTCCAGCAGCAGTCATACCTGATCCTTTCACAAACATTACTCGACATTTGGTTTTCAGTATGTTTTGTATTCAAGGACAAAGTTAAACTATTTCTTTTGCAGGAAGTATATTAATTCATTCATTAATTCACCACCTGTGTATTCATGTCTTCAAAGTTACAGGTGTGAGGTAAATGTTCTTTTCAAGTTATCTGAATGTATCTGAATGTATCTGTATGACGGTAATGCTCTGAATGCTTTGACTTCTGAAAAGGAATCGGAATATCAGTTTAATCATCTTCTTTGAGGGCAAACGCCTCTGTGACAAACGCCTCCGTGATTCTTATCTCATGGACACTAGTGCAGGAGTTGTTTTCCCACAAATTTAAACGTGACTACAGTAACAGTTCATTCTATTGTAAATATATTGAGTAATAAGCTATTGTTTGAAAGGCCGGTTTATATATATTTGGTCAGCAAATAAAATGCAAGGCACGCAAAGGAAATGTGAGGGAGAGGGTGTGTAAGAGTGAGTGAGTGAGAGAGAGAGCAGGAGAAAGAGAGAGAGAGAGAGAGCGGAAGATTTGCGCCTAAAATATATTCATTACTCAACACTTCAGTTTCTAGTACTTCAGTTTCTTCAGTTTCAGTTTCTAGTATTTCTTATAGAGTCCGCCTAAAATATATTCATTACTCAACACTGTCTGACTTCAGTTTCTAGTATTTCTTATAGAGTCTTGGACATCAACTGAAGACGACTACAGAAGTCCTAAAATGTACATCGTGTTCCACAAGAGATAGCGTTTTTATTTGTTTGTTTGTGTTTTTAATTAGGAATACATATACTTTGACATTTGTAAATGCATGCCATGAATTAGCAGGTTTACCATGATAATTACTAGATAAACAAATGTAAAAGTTTCATGGAGCATAACTGCACAGAGCTCAGGCTACAGTCAGACAGACACAGCCACGTTTGGTAATAAGATAAAACAGGACAGGTGGCCTTTCTTATCCTCCTTCCTGCCTTTAAGCCCAGATGATTCTTAACAAGCATTTAACACAAGCCTCCTGAACATTCTCACAGACAATCACGTTTGCTATTGAAGTACTTTTATAGTTTTCGATTACTAACCATGGGAGGAAAAAAGAGAGAAAGAAAGAAAGAGAGACAGAGAAAGATTGTGTTTCCTGTTGAAGTAAAAAAAAAAAAAAAAAACCACAGGATGTTACAAGTTCTTTGTGTAAACACTCAACTGCTGGCAGAGGCCATTCTCACTGGGGTTGACAAGACCCTTACCTTGTAGTTGTTTAAACCTGCCCTCCAAGATATTAGAATATTGAACTTGATTAACAAACGCTGCCGGGGACAAGCACGGCTCCCTGTCCTTGTGATCATACTCCATCTTCTGTCTTACTCAACGCCTCTGATATATTCCAGTCATATGATGAGTGTAGCACAGGCGTTGCATATAGCAAAATATTCTGCCCTAACTAAGTTGAATATAATCCTTTAAGGTGATTTCTCCTTGAAGATAATCGTTTGTATGTCCAAAATGACAACAGCAGATTCACTTGGACCTCCACCTTGTCCAAGTCCCACACAGCAAGGAGTCCTTTTCACCAAAAAGAAAAGAAATCTTGTCCTGTTTCACCTCCTCCCCAGTGCACATGAGGCCTCTGAACAAATGACAAAAAAAAGTAACTTCTTGTTTTCTTTAGTTCGGTAATCTACAAGTTTCAAAAATCAAACATGTAGCAGAGCGGAGCAGGCTAACTGGCCCTGTGCTCACATAACTGTGTAAACAGAGCCTGCTGTGGCTTCGGTAACATTTGCATAAGGTGAATGTTAGGGAGGAGCACAAAGGAGGAACATGGTGGAAGATAGAGCGGAGGGAGGAGGTGCAAAGGTGGACTAAACCATTACAGGGCTTTGTTCAGTGTACTTTCTACCACATACTTTATCTATAGCCTCATTCTAATGAGCCCTGTACTGCTGTGGCAGGGAGACGCCATTCATTTCCTATCAGATCACATTAGTTTGTTCTATTTGACTGCGTGGGTGTGGTTTTTTTTATTTTACGCTCAGACAGAATGCTTCACCCCCCCTCGTCAGGTGATGTTCTTTGACTTGTAAGACAGTAAGAACGGGAGGGACTTTGCTGAGAAAGTCTTAAAAACTCTTTCCAGCTTCAACAGGACGAAGTGTCTGTTGTGTTCTTTATTAAAAAACTTAATGGGTTTTTAATATTTGGGGTGAATATGAAAAAAAATAGCACCTACAAATAAAAAAGATTTTTTTAGGATAGCAATTTTTTTTTACTTTTTTTTACAAAAGCTTAACAACATTTTTGGACATATGTAGTTAATAGAATAAAAAGAGATAGAATAAGAATACAATAATTAAATAGGCAATTTGGCTTACAGGAATTACTTTTAGAAAGAAGATGGCATTAATCCCATATATTTAACAAATCTGGTTAAATTAGAACAAAAATGAACCATGGATAACTCTGATGTGGACCAAACTTTAAGTAATCCTGAAATGTATGATGTAATCCATCCGGTCAATGTCGATTAGTTACTCACATGTGGGCGCATTCAAAGTCCATATTATAATGCAATACTTATTCTTTAACTGCAAGTAAGTTAAAAAAAATAAACATCTCTCTTTGAAGTGAAGAACTCTACAAATCCAAAAAAAAAAAAAAAAACAGCTGGCAAATAACTGCTTCAACATGTCAAAGAATGTGTGCGTCAAGCCTACACTTGTTTAGCTGCGATGGTATTGCAGGCATTCACACAAAGACACACACGCACAAGTACATTCCTTTAGACACTGATAGAGAGAACGCAGCGACACCTTTACTGCCGCCTATTTTAATATTTTATTGTACACTTTATAGTACAATTACTGACACTAACCTGTGAGGTGACAGACGTATGACTTTCTATTTGTTTTACATTGTGAAAGCTATTACACTGTTATTAATTTTGCTCACAGAAACCAAATGTTCTTGGTTTGTTTTTTTGCGGAAATTACTCTTATAGTCTTATCCCAACTCAATAAAGTTAAGTTTTATTTAAAAAAAAGATCTGAGGCAAGATTTGTGAGCTTAAAAACATGAACCTGCATTACCTTGCAAAACCATTCATGTTCTGCAAATCTAAATAATATTTTGAGCATGATAAGAGGTGACATTTGTACAGTACACTCTGCTCCGTTTGCACAGGAAGTGGCATGCACCGTATTTCACAATAAAGCTGATAGATTACAAAATCTCCAGGTGCTTTATTTTGAAAGTTGTTAAACTAAATAGAGATCCTGTGGGAAATGTTTCATAATCACTTGTTATGAAAGCGAAGCTTTGCACTGAAGAGCACTTTACTTTTTGTATATGTTGTCAATTGAAGGAAATCAGAATTGACAAGTCACACGTACCAAATATGGGAGTTGATGCTGTCATATAGGCCAAGGTTTATCTCCCATAAAATTTAAACATATACAAATTCTATTCATTCATTCGACCTGTTGTTGAACATATAAAGGATGACACGCTCAAAACATCTGTAATGCACTGCTGAGATCAACAGTCCAACTTCAACATACCTGCCAGAGCTTTGATTCTGGAGCGCTCAAAGAGCCTCGCTGAGCTGTTTTCATTATCCCAGTCAGTCTCTGCTGCCAGATCCCAACGGTTGTTAATGTCATTATACTGCTGCTGGATCTCCAAACTATCGAAGTCAGTTGGTGAGATGGTGCTCATGGTGCCAGGTTGGACAAGACCACGGTCGACCTAAAATGTTGACAAAAGAACAAAATGTACACAAAGGGGAATTAGAAAGTAGTAATGTTGTTTTTTTTTACATTATCTTAACATCAGAGCTAAACAAAGTAGTACTTAAATAGTTAAGTAGACACAGACATTGAGATGGGTGATATCAAAGCAGTTGAGACAGAGGACAGGGTGAGATGGAGGCAAATCTGTGGCAACCCCTGAAGGGAAGAGCCAAATGAAGGAGTAGACATGTGAGATGTGAAAAGACAAATGAGAAAACAAGATTTTTGGGGTCAGATCATTTTTAGGAGGATCATTTTTTATTTTAGTTTGAATATTAAAACTGTATAGTCCATTGAGAGAAATGTGTTTTTTGAATTTGGTCTTTACAAATAAAATGGACTTCACTTGACAAAGTGCATGTCAGAAGGTGATCCTTGGCTGGTGTCAATCTGAGCGTTGCTAAAACCGTCTGTATTGTTTCTGTCGCTTATTTTATTAGCACTGCACTCCCAGTGAAAACAATTTTATATACAATTATATAAGTACATGAGAAATCAACCATCAGGGTGAGGTTTTTGAAAAAGCAAAATGCATTTGATTTAAGAAACCTAAAACCTAAACCGAACCTAAAACCTTATGGAACCAAGTCTGCTTCCTTAGCCACTAAGCCACCACCGCCCCTGAAAATGTCCTTCTGTGATTTTGTTTTTTTGCTTTCTGTTCAAATCTGGAGTGGAATTATTAATTAATAATATAATTATCTCATATTAGATTACTATTATTATTTAAAAAGAAATTCCCTCAAACTATTTTTTAACTGATATTATTACGTATACGGACTAGCAATATTGCTTGTACTTATGAGTACGTCTAGAAAACAATGGTTATAAAGACATTGTTTCAATGTTAAAATTAAAAATATTTTGTTATAAATAAATATATACAAATAATTATAAATATGCTACCAGTGCTTACAATCATTTAAATGATCTGAAGCACAAATGTCTTTGGCACGTGTGCCTGCCTGAATGTGCCTGTTATGCCAATGATTCTGGAGAGAGGCATTTACAGAAATGCAAAGCACTGGGTCTACCCCAACACAGTGGCCTCATACAATGAGCGTGTCAGCAGAGATTTGAGGCCAGCCATTCCCATTGGCAAAAATAAGCCAGCCAGAGGCGCACATGTTTCAGAGGCACCTACAAAGAGTGCTGATCCTCAACTAAATGCCCTGCTGAAAGGGACAGCAGAGATCTTTTGTTGACCTGTAACATCACATTTATCAAAAACCAAAAGCAGCCTGAACATCCCCACATTGACCTCTAATATCAGGCACACAGATTTATATATCTAATAATGGATCATAGGATAATAGATAATAGGAATATACAAACAACAACGACAACTGAAAGGGACAATTAGGGGGAGACCCAAAATGAGGAGGAAAAAAAAGGCAGGCCTCCTTGATAACTGATAATTATGATTATTTCTATCAATATTGAAATCATGATTATTAATCACCATTATTCAATATGTTAGATAAAACAAAAATCTGCAGAGTTTTGAGTTCAGGCAAGACTTAATTAAGAGAAATAATCATTGTGAAAGGATCACATATTTCATTGTTTTTCCCATGTTTGTGAAGGCCTCGTTGCTCACAGTATTTATTGGACACGTCTTTGGCTGAAATAACAAATGCTATATCATCTGTTATTCCATGTCACTGTGTCACTGTGTGCAGCGCTAATGTTATGCCTTATCATTAGCGCTGGTCTTCATGCATTCATCGCATTTGGATTTGTGGTCTTCTGTCACGTGGTTTAATTAGTTAGTGTGTTGGCCTGTGGCGCAGACACAATTCTACGGCACGATTTGCATACAATTTATTTTTGAACAACATCATTCCATCTGAATCAAACAAACCTGTCGGGACATTACATCTCACTCTCTGAACAATTTGAGGCTGCTGGCTGCCGCTCGCTACGCACACACTTCCTAAATAGGCAGTTTTTGCTAGCCCCCTGGTGGTTGGCTGACTATTGGTTGAGAATACCTAATTTCATAGGCAGCAGAGCCCACTTTCTGAATGTTAGTATCGCGACGATCATCTTCATTTAATCGTGGTGGTCCAAACAGTGATTATGAGGCATTTATACTGTCGACAACAGGCTCAGTTGAAACAACCAGTTCACGAGTCTAACTAAAGCGTAGCATGTGAAAGGTTCAGTAAACATAACTGAACTAGAACCACTGCTCAAAAACAATAATATTCAAATAGCAACCTTAAAATACAAGCTGAGGTACGGCAGGTTTTCAGCCTTTCTGACACTTAAAATCCATAAAGTTCAAACATACAACATAGATTTACTGTTTGAGCCCCATGTTCTTGGAAAGAACAGATCTAATGTACAAGGTTTTAAGTTCAGTATACAAGAACCCATTTCCAATTAGCACCTCCTTCAAGTCACAAAGCACTTTTTAAATGTTTTGCAAGTCAACCTATACAATAGTGAGGAAACGTGGTAAGTTTTTTCTTATATACTATTTAACTATAAATCAAGAAACTTTTTTTTTTAAACCGAGCGAAGCGATTCACACCAACAACACATTCGAGTTGAAAACACTGGCTGCTGCTTTCCAGTAAACAAAGCATACTTAAACCATACATGTTTCATAAACACACAGTGTCAGTTAAATAACTCCAAAAAGAAAAGTGACTATAGCTGACTAGTGCGAATGCCTGCGTTCCTCTCAGAATCTGAAGTTAAAGGACCTCCCAACTGCTGACATCCTTCATCTACTTGAGTCATTTTCCCAACAGGGCAATGAGACACTGAACTGAAGAAGCAAAACAAAAACACACTTGCACAGCTTGGTTGTAATGAAAAGCCATTAAAGAGTATTTGGTCGCTGAGTACAAGTTCAAGTATCAGACTAATAATATTGGAACCACTGACATTAAACCACTGGGTAAAAACAGGTGTAGAAACTGAAAACAGCAGCATCGACTCCTTTAGAAAATCATTTGTATTTCTTTTGTATTATTTCTTTCTTTCTTTCCCAATTACTTGGCTGCATCTTGGTTTGGGTGCAGTCATTTCATGCCAAATAAGACATAAAGGCCAAATGTTAAAAAACAAAACATAAATGTGCATCCTTTGTGCTATTTGTGCTGGTGAGCCAAGCATCAAGTTAAAGTTTCCAGTAATATGGGCCATCTCACGTCATCTTTTCTCAATTACATCAGAATTTACTCAACATCATTTTCGACTCTTTCAGTTATTATTACACATAAGTGTATTTTCTTGAGAAATTTCTGTTTGTTTTTGTTTAATGGATTTCTTCCTAGCACAGACTCTCTACTTGTACGATGTGTTGCTTTTGTTGATCATTTTTATTAAAGCATCCCTACTATGACTAACTATAACGGCCAGACACGCATTGAGAAATCAAAACGCTGTATCATCGCACAAACTGAGAAAAGCTCTGCAACATTTTACTATTTAACCCGAGTTTTGTTTTGTTTTTTAACCATCCTACAGCTGTGTTCAAGCACATCCCGTAGAGGTGAGCGAATCCTCAGACCTAACCGAATGCAAAATAAACAGTGGCGGTTGGCGAGCATCCACGAGCATCTAACGGTGCACTTTGAAGGATATTAAAAACACGTACAGAAGCTAAAGCATCCAAAATCACACCAGAAACACTGGTGAGGCACCCTCACATGCTGCTACTGCACACACCGAGAAAATGTGGCGAGGGCTTAAACAAAGACATGGTAATCGACACGCTATCTGTTAGATGATGCACAAATGCCGTCAGGGACTCCATTCAGCCACACGTCTCCGGCAGATGCTGGTCAACGAGCAGAAACGCGTTTCTATCATCTTCTCTGTCGTGTTTTCAGCACACTCACAGTTATAACGTTATCTGCTCCTTAAATGCTAATATCAACTATAAGCTAGCAGGAGTCAGAAGCTTTGTTATTTGAGGCACAGTCTGTGGGTGAATACGAAGGGGGGGGGGTCTTACCTCTTATTTCTCTTTTACAGTAAATATTGACGATATTTCTACTGCTGTGTCGCTGCATGTGGTACCGAGACGAGACAAATTAAGGCGCTCTCCCTACCGTTACAACTAAAAATATTTCTCGAAATTTCCCAGGTGACACCAAACGTCTTTGTGAATCCGCATCCACGAAAAATAGATCGCTTCGTGTCTGGCTCTCTTAGCCGCTGCTGCTGCTGCTGTTAGAGTTACGAAACCAGCTGGTCTTATGTCCTCTGATTCCCTAATTTTCACACACACACGGACAAACCAAAAACATAGAGGATAGAACACACCAACTACGAGAAGATACCGTTGTGAAGAGCCAGGTGAGAGACGGATTTTCTCCTCCGCAGCGGCAGCAGCGCGGCTGAGCATCCGCACCACTCTCCCAGAACTCCGGTTCAACAGCGAGAAGAAAGAGGCGACGTGCAGCTGGTTGTCAGGGCAGAGGTGTGCGTGTGTGGGTTGGGGGTTGGTGATGGGGAGTGGGTGGGTGGATGGGTGGATGGATGGATGGATGGATGGATAGATAGATGGATGGATGGATGATGGATGGATGGATGGATGGATGGATAGATAGATAGATAGATAACAGGAAGATGCTCCGTGTCCCAGGTGTTGAACATCAACCCAGAAAGTGAAAAGTATGGAAGTGGTAATGGAAATAATCTTAAAAACCTTTTTTACTACATGTTTTTTTTACTCACGCCATGTCTCACCAGAGCTGGGAGTTTGACTTCATCATGCTTTTTACTACATGTTTTTTTTACTTCACGCCATGTCTCACCAGAGCTGGGAGGGGCCGTAGAAGTAAAGTCAAACCTGAGGCCTCCTTCCTGGTTCATAAGAAACCTGCCACTTCACCAAGGAAACAAATAATTGTCTTTCATAGATAATAAACTGACATTTAAAGGCCTAAGATTAGCTCTTCAACCAACCACACCCCAAAGTTTCAAATGAGAAATTTACAGCATCATTATTATAATTGTAAAAAGATTCAACCAAGTAGGTTTTTGATGAAGGTTGGTGGATGGTTTGTTAACTGGATGGATGGATGGATGGATGAATAGCTTGAATTTCACTCCCACCTACAATCAAAAGTAAACAAGAAAATGCAAAAAGAGCAGAGTCCTTAGTGGGTTATTTTGTAAGTCTCTGCAAACTACAGCTTTGATTGAATAAGAATGATGGGCTGAGTTAACATATATTGGAATTTATGTGATTAAAAATACTCAGACTGGAATTAAAACTGTGAAATGAAGATTTAATCAACAATGTTAACAACTGTAAAATATAGACATCTCCAAGACAGAGTCAGGGATGACACAGACAGCCAAACATCCCTCCTTCCATTATCAATTATTCATCTGGTCCAGGAGGGGGAGGGGGCACCTAAGCCAATCCCTGCCAACTACGGGCCAGGGTGAGCTACACCCTGGACAGCTCTCCATTACTTTTAACTATGGACAAGGGTGAGGTACACCCTGGACAGCTCTCCATTACTTTCAAATTGCAGACACACATACACACCCTGTTTACTCTTCTGACTCTAACCCCTGCAGCCAATAGGCTTAAGCCTAACAAAGAGAAAGAGCTGAGCTCAGTGTAAAAGTTTCCCATTGACATACATGACTGTGTCCCTCCCAGTGATATCTGTAACTGGCAGCAGTTTGAACTAAAACCCGGCGTGCTTGCTCACCACACACGGTATCCAAACTGGTGGGGTCAGTATAAGGGGTGTCTGGATATAGTTTTATTACAGATCGATATGAGTATGCACATTTTTATTTGTGTCCATTTGACAATAAATATCAAAACAACTATAGATAGAATAAATTATAGTAATATTTTAAAAATAAAGACAAAAAATTAAGCTTTTTTTATATTGTAAACGCAGCCAGCTAAACAGAGTGAGTGGAGCATTTACACCAGTAAACCAAGTGCCACTTTAACAGTGTGGTACTATTTCTGTGGTGCAATAAACAAATTGACAAATGCAATATTGTCAAATATCTTTTTGGTACATTGCCCTTAACGTAACAAAAATATCTCTTGTCTCCATCCACGACATTAAAATTGTTGACCTACATTAGTAATTACCAACGAGGACAAGGGAATACTGACAATGTGTAGGAAAAACAACATTACACTGGCATCTGTTGCACCGGTGCATCTATTTATTCATTAAAATGTCAATATTTTTCAAAGGAAATGTTTAGTTAGACGAATTCATTGTGTGGAAAAATCACGCACACACACAAAAAAACCCCACTTCAAACCGCCATCACATTTTTTATGTAGCGCACCCCCTAGTGGCAGTTAACACACCGCGCACCACACTGCCCTAATGCATAGAGACATTTCTAAATATAAACCTTTCTAGACTGGGCTGTGCATAGCAAAGACTTTACATTTTCAAACTCACTGATGTAACTGAATTTAGAGTACCTGCTAAATATTCTATTTGTTCTTTCTTTTTACTGCTTCAGTGGTTAAATGCATTCATATCCATCCTATTTTGATCCATATAATAGAATAATAACTATTTTATGATCATTTTATGCTCACATACTGTCACCTGACTTTCTATTGTTCATTTTCTTTCCCTTAAACTATCTGCTGAAGGTCAACAGGCTGCACAGAAACACTCGACAGAATGAAACCAGGACAGTGTGAACCTGTTGTTCCACCACAGTTCAACGTGACTTACTGAGCTCTAAATATGAGGACACTCTACAGATCAGAATAAAATTGAATTGGAATATTTCACCTGCAGCCAGTGTTTATCTTAAATATGAGACGACACTGCCATTGCTTTTTTTCACCTAATCTAAAGTTTATGTCGAAAATTATTATTTATTATTAATTACAAATGAACTGACTTTAAACCAATGGAGCACTTCTAATGTTTCACTGCAATGTCCATTTAATACATATACAGTCTATATGGGACTGGTTCCCAACCACTGGGTATGGCTAGGCTCATATTTTGGTAAATGACCTAATTCTACTGTAACTACATGTGTCATTTGTCAAAATAAAATGATTGAAAATTAAACGTGTGCTTCTTAAAAAAGGAATTGCCCTTCTGCATTCATATTCATTTAGGACAAAAACATAATTTTACTGCAGCAAATTACAGTGCAAAGCTTGAACTGTGCAAAATACAAAAGTGATGTGATAATTACATGGATAAAGGCCTTATCTCCAGACCTCGGGGGAACCTATCTTACTGTAATTTGGGGATCAGCTTCTAGTCCTGGAGGTACATTATAACTAAACAAAAAAAAAACCTAAATCTAATGTCACAGAGACAACAGTGCATGAAGTGTAAGAAAAGTGTGAAACCACATGCACGTGTTATTTTCAGATGGATGAGGAAGTGAAACTCTTGCAGATGCACACCTGCCATGTTGTTCTTATGCATTAACATTTTGAGTTTGGATTTTGTTTTTTTTTGTTTTTTTTGTGTGCTTGTTTTACATTATGCAAGGATTGGTTTGCTATTCTTTGTTAATGTCAAGACCATAGGGTCCATCAAGGCCTGTGACATGACGTACATGTCAGAAGAAGGATTGACAATGTCGAAGGTTGTAGCTAAATAAATAAAGACTGCAATGGAAAATATTCAGTCCATTTCTTATAAGCATTTTAATGGGTTTTGTTTCTGGTCTATAACACTGGCCTATATAATTTTAATTATAATTTTTTAGTCTAGTTTTTCAATCTTCCAAACCACATTCTCATACGTGCGTGTTATTGTGTGTCTGTGCATGTGTTGTTGCCTTTCATAGAAAACAAACAAACGAAACATGACGACTTTTGTTCTAGACCTTTATTAGACTTCATGTTTGGATTATAGAGAATTTAAAAGTTGCTGGAAAATTCTAAGCAGTTGAGAACAGAGCGTTATGCCTATCTCTATTGGTAACAGTGAAGCATGACTTAGTCATTTTGTATACTGTTCGGTATGATCGAACACAGCAGCTTCATTCATATCCATGCACCTTTTCTAGAAGTTCTACAGTTGCCTTGCAACAAATAATCACAGCTCTTCAAACCAACAGACATTGTTTTTGTCACAGATGCTGTTGAGCCTGAAAGGTCAGTGGAGTTGGTAAAAGCCCTAATGAGATACAAAAGTAAGTAGTAAATGACAAGTAAATAATAAGTAATAGTTAATAATCAATTACCTTTGCACCAAAAGCACAGTGTACTCAGAATTTACAAATCTAAACTCTTTGGGTAAACATTAGGGCCATGCTCTCTCTCCCATGTGCTCAGTTACAATTATTGCATATGCCTTACCATTGGTGTCTTGTAATAAACAGGTTCAAGCTAATGAATCAACGCAGGAAGTAGGAAATGAAATAGACCTATCTACAGTTTGACTGAAGTAATAAAAGGCTTCTTCAATTAAAAAACACCTTTAGCCTAGCTTAGATAAGGAAGCATTTAAATGACGCGTTTTCACTTCACCGCATATACACTGATGTATGGTGTATGTGGAGCTGCCGCTCAGTCCACACACCATCTGTACCTCAACTTATATAAGGCTTGTAAAAATCTGTGTAAACTCTACAAGAGTATACATTGACTTCAGACCAAATATGTAAATTAGAAAGAATAAAAAATGATTTTACAACATTGATATCACAAAAAAAGTTAATCTGTTTTGTTGCGACAGACATAAAAACAAAAAGGCTAACTTAGAGTTACTTCCTCAATAAAATAAATAAATAAAAGCAAACATAGAGCTAGATTTGTTATCCCTTTGTTTCACTGGGATGGTAAAAGGATCATATGTACACAAATTGCAAGTAATGCAGAGGACACAGTGATTATCGACCAAACTATAATAATATATTTGACCTGACAGCGTTAGCGCTCGCTAACACAATGTGCAAAATGGATTCAACATATATTACTATTTAAAGCTCTAGTACCTGCATACCCTCATGAACAACCCTCAGAAATATTTTAAATGAATCCTCACGTTAAGAGTGTCACAGAAAGTATGTGGTGCTGTGAACACCAACAAGGTTCTTATGCTTTTTCTTTTCTACTTTCTGTTCAAAGGCATCCGGACATCTTACAGTATGTTTGCAAGTTATCTTGACATTCTCTAGTTAAAATATTTACTCGTGTAAATATTTAGCAAGTATTTGGCAAAAACGGCGTAAATGCTGTGTTCTAGTGCACCACTAGCAAGGCACTTGTCCACTACATGCTAGCGTGCCACTAAAACGCAGCTAAATGCTGGTTGTTAGCGTGCTGATTACACACTACATGCTACGTGTCTTTAATGATGTGCATTTTCTATATGTGTAAAATCTGGACCAAATTCACGGGATTAAATTAAAAGACAATCAACTAGTATACCTGATTTATGGAGCAGGACCATTAAATGTGAATTAGCATCACCTAGTGGCCAAGAAAGGGAATCTACATGCTCTTTGCTAACAAACCTAAAATACGATAGCCATTAAACAAAACTGCGTAGTTCCCTAGCAAGTACAGTGTAATGTATATTTAATAATGTAATGTCACATTTTGTGTATCGTTTGTAGTGCAACCAGTAGTAGGTGGCTTTAAAAGGTTTCAATGGTTGACAGTTTGTTTCAGAGAGAGATAACTGAGAATGTTTTTGTATCTTTTTTAGTTTGATTTTGAAATATATTTATGTATATATATATTGTGAATTTTTTTCTGATGGTTTGTAATTTTAAAACACAGCTTTATTTGCTCTGGAAGATAACGTGGACCATGCATAGCCAAAACACTGAGACCAGTGCAACTAATAACTCTAGCAATTAGTTCAATTATGCTAATATTGCATAAAATGTGATATACATATATATATAGTTAATATTATTTAGCCTTAGTGCCGATTCTATTGATGTAATTACATCACAAGTTTATGCTAGGCCTGTTTGAAGCAATGTGTTTGAAGTCGTCCTTATACATGCTCAACTACATTAGTTCTTTTTCCTAAAGCGTAAGCATCAAAGGTTTTTTTTTTCTAAAACTGGTAGAAATTATTTGAAGGGATTTTCTATTGCTTTCAGAAAACTGTATTTTCATGTGCGTATATTTCGTTACTGGTGGCCAGGCAGACAGAGGAGCAGAAAAGCAGTCGAGTGTAGATTCCAGTGATGACATACAAAATGACTTATAATTAATCTACACTAATAAGTCATTATAGAATTTGTGCTGCAGAGACATACAGTGGTAAGACAACATGCTGAGGTTTTTTTTTGCTGCCTTCACTGCTGTTTTCTGCTTCTGTAATTAGCTGAATGAAAAATCAGGCCAATTATTTATTTGGCAGTTTCAGATACACTTTTGAAGGCAAACCTAAAGGTTAAATAGCATTGGAAGGTTAAGTCTTCATTTAAGATTAGAAACCATCAATTTCTTTTAAATCAAATCTTCTGGAGCTGGGAAAACAGACTGCACTAACACAACAGTCAACATTGCTAATAATAAACCCAGTCACTGCTGCCATGTCTGTGTCCTCCCAGTGTCTGTCCAAAGCCACAGATGAGTTGAATCAGAGAGTACAAAACTGGTGCCAAAACAAATCAGGAAAATAACTGGCATTCTGGGTGATGGCCCTGGTAACTAAGTGACGAGTTTCAAAGTCAAAGGCTTAGAATGAGTTCTACAATTAGCTGAACCTCAGGGAAGATTAAGCAATAGCAATGCTAATTCATACATTTGCAAATAAATAAAAGATTGAGATTGATAAGTGTGCATAGTTTCTTTTGATGATTAATGTAAATAAACTGTTTACCAGAGACACAAATGTGATGACGCGATGGCTGCTGTGAGAGAAATATATCGATCTACACTCTTTAGCTAACGGGTGCGGGGGTCTTTTATCCAGACTGTACTATGTAAATAATATGGCCACTTTGCTTTGTACTCTGAGATGCACATGAATTTACGATGCATTAAGGGTTTTCCTGGCTTGGTATTTAGCAAGGGCTTAGGGCAAAATACCCTCAGCATATTGCCATTAGAATTTGACCCGTAATATAAAAATAAATCTATAAACAAACAAATTAACAGATATACTGAAATTTAAATAAAAATTTAAAGGTTGACCATGAAAGTAAAAAAAATCCATAAGACCGATGTAGCAGCTAAATTAGCCCGAAACATAGCCAAATATCAGCTAAACATGGCTTACAGTAAGTCAGCAAAACAATACATTTGAGCCTATAGTGAGCTAATGAACAAAGGGAAAATTCTAAATGGCCACCGTCACATGTTTCCACAGCTGCAAAAAGTCCCTGTTTTAAAAATGAAACACATCCTGAATAAAAGAGTTAGATGTAATTCTGCTAAAGATGTAAATAAATATTTTGTACAATTTACATTATCATTAGCTAGTCATGCTGTTACAGTACATGTTTCAAGAACTGTATTATTGGTAATCGATGCGCATATATTTCAATTGCCAGGTAGAATTTTTCTGTAAAAATAAAAATAAATAAATAAATAAAAACATGTGGTGTACTTGTTCATGCACCTCCTCATTTCTTTTTTGGCGTTGCCTTGGAGTCTGCTTTGGATCCTGAGAGACCGTTCTCTGTGTTATCAATCCCAGACGAAGTTACAAGGCACTCCTTACTGCAGATTGGAAGGAAGAAAGAGGGAGAAAACAACAACAATGAACAATGACTGTTGTTAAAAACAAAATAATGAATTTATATATACAGTATATACAGTATATGAGAACTTTTTTGTGTGTATTTGTTTGTTTGAAATAGTGCTACGCAGTTCAAATCACGAGACGGTAGAAAAAAAACCACTTACTTTTTCTCCTCGAGCTTGGAGAGAACAAAAAGTGTGAAGTTCTTGAGCAACATGAAGCCCATCAAGAATGCAATTGCTCCACCTACTGCTGAGGCTATGATAATGGTCAACGTGTTGTCCACCACCCTGACTGTTTAAATCAATGAGAAAGAGTGAGAAAGAGTTGAAAGACAGCGAAATACAATTACCGATTCAAGTAAACATAACAACTGCAAAGCCAGTGTATACATTCCTGTTGTATACTGTATACCATGTCATGAATATGTACATAATACAAATTAAATTCAATAAATTTTAAGAAAACTTTCAAAGCTCTGCTACCTACCGTGTATTTATTTCTCTAAGGAACTTTACCTTTTTTCATTAGTATGAATATGAGTATGACTTCTTGTTGTTTTTAGACTGAAATGGTCACTTGAGTAATTTGACCTAATTTAACAGAGTGAACCTTTAAAGATATTTAGTGCCTGGAGACTGTTTACATTTTTCCTCAAAATTGATCATGTAGGCTACTATAAAGTAGAACTCAAAAACATTGAAAGACAGTTATGAGATTGTTTGATTAGAAGGCCGTGGGCTAAATAAAACATTTTCTGACACTTACGCTCATCCACCACGATGAGGTGAAAAATGGCGCTGTGGTTCTTAGACCTCTCTTTCGGGTTGCGTCCGAAGCAAGTGTAGAAGCCTCCATCCTCGAAGGTGATGTTCCATAGCAGAATTGAAACGTTGTTGTGATGATTCTTTCCAACAAACTCTACTCGTTCTTTATATATCGTCACGTATGGCTCCACTCCTTCCGATGGGATTGTTGAATCACAAATCTAATAGAAGCAGTCATCTATCAGTCATTCAGCAAAACCTCAACATGTTTTGTTTTTTTTCCTTCATACAAAAGCAACACAACAAATAATACTCAAACCATATCCATGGTGCCATTGTTGTTGAACTGCCAGTTGAAATAAAGTTTATCAATACCAATGCAGCTGGAGTATGTACAAGGCAACATGACGGTGCTGCCGTTTACTGCCTCGAGAAAGGGAATTTTTCCCACGGACATCTCAAGGGCCTGAGAGGACCACACGCCTGTGGAAGAACACAAAACCATAGTTTTTTTTTTTTTGCTTTAACCTTAGATTAGCTGCACACGTTGCCCTTTGTTTGGCATACGCTGTTCCACACACAACAGTCAAGGTCAGCGGCTGACAATAATCATACGGCATGTGTAAAAAAAAAAGAAAAATACAGAGAACGGAGGCACAGGGTATGTGGAAATCCTATCCCTGCTAGCCCTTCACCTCTCTCTCTCTCCCTCTCGCTCTCTCTCCCCCTCTCCCTCTTCAAATATTTACCTCAGCTGTTTCATTGCAGCACAATGATCTTGCAAAAACATAGTGTAGAGGAGCAGCAGAGCCCTCCTTCCCACTATTGTGCATGTTCATGCATCTCTTTTCTTTTTGGATTTTCACTTGTCATTCACACTATTTTTTGCTATCGTTACCTGTACTTAAAACCTAAAACTAATATGATTTGCCTTTCAAGTGTCCTCCTGGACAGGAAATATGAGAAACATGTCCAAAAATGACAAACAAAAGCCTGATTTAGCAATGTGCATTTCTGGGGATTTCACATATAAAACAGAATCTTAGAAAAAGATTCTATAAGCCAATCCTTACTCATACTCAGATAAGCTGAAGTTGGCGTATAAATAGCTATTATCCATCAGTAGGAAATGTTAGACCTTGGTCTTGACGTGGTACTCCACACTTGGACAGAAAATGACTTCACTGAGATGCACCACGACTAGTTTATGTCACTAGAGGTATTGCAGAGGTTAACACGCATTAGGCCTGAAATGTCTGACAATTGTTCTCTTATTTAGCCTTTTTATGGAACATTCCCACTTTAAAGTCATCACAGATCATGTAACAACAGACAGTTTGATCGTCACCAATTCATTTGTTTTGCACGGTCTGTTGTTCTCCGCAGGAAAAAAAATTCTTATTGAAATAAGTCACCGTATTAAAGTCACTGACTTTAGCAAAAAAAAAGTTGAAAAAATATATAACCCACTGAATAACAAGTAACTGTATAGTGTAGAGAAATGACATATTACCCAGCAGGACAGAGAAGATCAGGGTGGCAGCTGCATACGATGCGTCCAGCCTCAGCGGTTCGACTTCACAAAACAGCAGCTCCATAGCGTCCAGTTCTGCTTTAATGCATATAACACACAGATGTAACGCTGGCTCAGAGCAGAGAATAATCCTTTGGTCTCTCTGTTGTCTCCCTGACACTCAGGATCAGACGAGGATGTTGTTTTTCCTCAGTCTATAGACCCTCAGTAAGGCACATCCCACTGGTCCCGGATACAATGAGACTTAGTTGCTTGTCCCGCAGCCGACTCTCTTTGACTGTAAGTGAGACACAGGGTCGAAGGCAAAATGTAAAAACAAAGATGAAGCAAGATAAAGTAACTATATATATATATAAATATATATATATAACAGAACATTTTTACTAGCATGTCCTGAATGGGTCTGCACACAGTACTACTAAATGTAAACTGAAAACGCAGCATGAAGAAATATTCCCTGATGCAGCTGAAGTTTTGCACCTACCTGCTCTGTGCTCTCTGGCAGGCTCACTGTGCACAGTCAGGGTTCATGCAAGGAGAAGCTGCCAGCCTGCATTTTCACTGCAGCGAGAGCCACGATGCAGTGCCAGCCAAGATGTGAGACAATTACAAACAAATGGGAGTGTGTGTGTGTGTTGGGGGGGGGG